TTTGAAAAAATTTGTGACTTAAAAATAGTAAGAATTACAGCCAACACAATGGAGTATCATTACAGAAATGATTATCAAATATTTAAAATTAAATTGGAAAGAGAATAATGTAGCACAGCATTTGGATCAAAAATGCAATTGTGCATATATATGGACAAGGATTAAGGCCATTACTAGCTCCAAGGCACCATTGCTAAATAGCAAAAGGTCCATAGCTCAGATAGCAGGGCTGCCTCCTTCGTATGAATTAGGAGAATCCCCTTCCTCTAGGCTGATGCTGAGTACCAGGCACATTGCTTAGCAAGTGAAGCATGGCTGAATTTCTGCGCTCTCTGATTTCCTATGCTGGGTATCCTTGTGTAAGGCAGAAGCTATAACTATCATTTACTATATGTAAGGCACACTGTTAAGTGCTTTACAAAGATTGGACAATTTTCATATCTCAGTGAAGTGTTATCTGCCTTTACAGTTAATTCTTCAGCTCAGGCATCTTCTGAACTCCATAATTATGAACCTACTGCTTGTGTAGTTAATTTGCAATATAGCAGCTGGAGTAGTCCTTTTAACACCTAAGACAGATTGTGTGTCTTCTCTGCTCAGAACCTTTCAATGGCTTTCCATTTCACTTAGTAAAAGGTAAAGTCCTTACAGTGAACTATAAGGCAGTATGTTATCTGCATTGCCCCCCCTCCCCTCAACTGTACTTTGACTTCACTGAATTTTGTGATATCTTTGCTGTTCTTTGTGCACAGAATTTAGGGTTTTCTCTGGCTGTTCCTTGTGCCTTGAATATTCTTCTAGCTATCTGCAAATCAAACTCCCTGACTTCCAAGTCTTGGCTCAGCTGTACCTCCTCATTGAGGCCTACTCTGACCATTATAAATTGCAGCTTGCCTCTATGCCCTAGCAGTGATAACCCACTGTCATCTTACCTAATTTATTTTACTGTGTGTCTCTCTGCTGGAAGATGTACTTCTAATACCAGGGTCTTTGTCTCTCATTCACTGAGGTAACCTAAGCAACTAGAGCAGCACCTGGTACATAGTGGGTGTTCAGTAATGTTTATTGCATTGAATGATTGAGTGAAAACGGTGTGGGAGAAGTTAAGCATTTTGGCAAAAGTCCACACAGCTAATAAAAGGTGGAGGTAGATTTTGAACTGATATTTATGTGTTTTGTTTCTACTATTAGAAGATAATATCCAAAGAATGTGTTAGGATGAGTAAGATTATGAATAACTTTTTTCTTTTATCCTCCCTCCCCAAATTTAATTTTTATTATGTCCTATTTTAAATAAAAGCATAATTAAAAAATAAGTTACCAGAGTAGAAGGAAAAAGCCAGCTATCAGGAAGCTAGAGCAGGCAGCCACAAGGTTGAAATCTGGCACTGCATCTGAGGAAGAGCTTGTCTTACAAATGCACTGATCTTATCTGCCTTAAGAATAAAGAATGATGGTGTGATAAAGTCCTGGTAAAAGTTGTGAGTGCTTTTGATCTTAGATATTTTTTGAGTACTCTTGGCACTCTGTGTAACCTTGGACAATTTCATTTAACCTTTTTGGTCCTTCAAAATCAGGATAATAAGTCTCTCTCAGAGTTGTTGGGAGGATTAATGATATGGTATGTAAAGAACTGATACTTATTACGTACATATTGAAATGTAAAGAGCTACATATTATTATACATAATGTAGGTTCTTAATAGTGTACACACTGAAATGTAAAGAACTCAATAGCTATTAGCCAGTATCATCATTATCTTTATTGCTGCTGCTTATTTGGTACAGAATTTTTAGAAATTTTAGAAATATTTGATGTATCTTGTTACTTAGTGAGTTTTGGCACGTGGCAAAGTAGAGAGCAAACTAATACTGTTATTATTCAGATAGCTATAACAGGCTTTGCTAAATATATGTATTTTTCATGGATGCTTGTTTTTTGTTCTAATTTTATGTTATATCTTACAAATAACCATTGTTTTCTTAACAATTTACATAAATTTTAGATTCTATAACTACCATCCATTGGTTTTGAAGTCTTGGTTGAGTAACTTTTGTGGGTCAGGTGTCCTACAAAGTTCTGGGAGAATGAAGAAGGCATGCACTCTATCCTTAAGGAGCTTACAGGTAGTCAGGGAGGCAGACATGTAAATAAGTGTAATAAAAGGTGGAAAGTGCTGTTAATATATATTTAAATAATATGACTATGAAAAAAAGTACGGAGTAGTAAATTCTTTATGATTAGGGAGCAAAGAAGGGAGGCTTTATGAGGGAGAATTTCAGGTGCTTTGCCTAAAGAACATTATGGACCCAAAGCCTCAGTAGAGGCATACAAAATTCTACTGAGCGGATGCCCTCAAAGAAAGACTTCTGGAAACCAACTTTGTACATTTTAAGGTTTTCATACTGTACAAGGGCTGCAGTCCCTGAAACAATTCAGAAGAGACTTTTTTTTTTTAATTGCAAGATTGTAAATAAGTATAATCTTTGTTGTATGTGCTTTGGAGAAGGATTTAAATTAGGGAAGGCATCTACAGTAAATTCAGTGAAATAGTTAACACCACCCTCTGGTATCTTCTTTGAAAGCTGAAAAGAACATCATCTCAGCAGGCAGGAAATGGAAGGCCTCATGGCAACAAAGATCATTATAAGAAGTGATAAATGAGAAAGTAGAAGAAGGGCTATTTTTAGAGAGAGATGAATATTAGAAATTCAATAATTAATTTAGTAAATAAGACTATATAGTGTAAGAACCATGGATATATACCATTTCCATGCCTTCAAAATGGCATATTATTGGGGTGCCTGAGTGGCTCAGTTGGTTAAGTGCCTGACTCTTGGTTTCCACTCAGATCATGATCTCAGGGTTGTGAAATTGAGCCCCACATTGGGCTCCACACTGGGCGTGGAGCCTGCTTGGAATTCTCTTTCCCCCTGCCCCTCCCCCTCCCCCAAATGGCATATTAAAAGTTAGTCAGCCATGTAACCCAGTCAGCATTGGAGAATGGTCTCAGATTGCTGTCAGTGTATCCATTAGTTTATATCCATTAAAGTACTTTGCCACATGCCAAAACTTCACAGTAAATTTGAATGATAAATAAAGTCACAAAATAACTAAAACTGAGAAAAGAATGAAAATTTAATATAGTGAGTTTTTTGAGTACACATAGCAATGAAGTATATGAAAACAGGAAGAATTACATGAAGTAGGAGAGCTGACTATTTCTAAATGTAAGGTAGAATTAGCATACACAGAGTTCATTGGGAGGGATAAGAAAGACACTTTAGGACTATATGGATCCTTTAAAAAAGTGATCATTCAAGGGTAAGAAGGTGTATTTTATATGGGTTAATGCATTTGGAGAAATCGATGTAAGGTGGTCTAGGGATTCTGGGCTTTCAAACTTAGTGGTCCACACTAAACAGTACTTAAAAAAAAAAAAAAAGATTAAAGTAATCACTACACCCCATGTGGGGCTTGAATTCACGACCCCGAGGTCAGGAATTGCCTGCTCCTCTGGCTGAGCCAGCCAGGCACCTCAAAATGTACATTTTTATAATGTATGTGTATCTGAATCAAAGACTTCTCAAAATAATACTTATCTGTACGATGTGTGATACATTCTGTTCTATCTTATTTTTGAAGAAAGCTGGTCATAACTCACCAAAATGATTTCCTGACAACTGAAGGAAAATACCCCATAGTTTGAAAAAAGTACTGAGTTACACTCTAGGAAAGAAAGAGACTTCAGCTTTTTAAGTCTCTTCTCTGAAGAATCTGGCTATTAAGGTACTGATTCTTGGGGGCGTCTGGCTGGCTCAGTAAGTAGAGCATCTGACTCCTGATCTCGGGGTTGTGGGTTCGAGCCCCACGTTGGGTGTAGAGATTACTTAAAAATAAAAAGTCTTTAAAAAGTACTGATTCTGTCCCTTTTTGAAACCATATTGGTGCTATTTTAGTTATACCACAAAAAGGGCTCAGGCTGTTTCACCAAACAAATGTTTAAGGTCAGGGAACTTTTGTGATAAAAAAAGCTACTATTTTGTCCATATGAAGAGAGTTATCTAAAAAAACTTTTTTTTTTTATCATTGGACAGAAATGAGCTTTTAAAATTAGATTCCATATAAACTCTTTGTTACCAAAGTTATCTTCAAATGGTGTACTTAATACTCTTAAACAATATACTTTTATGTAAGAGTTGAAAAGTTTGCATAAATACCAAGAAATACATTGTGAACAGTTTTAATTAATTTTTTTTTTTTGATGTTTACTTTTGACACTACACAACATGTATAGTCCTTTATTTTCTTAAGTTTGTTTTGGAGAGGGACAGAGAGAGAGAATCTCCAGCAGACTCCCTGCTGAGTGAGGAGCCTGATGTGGGGCTTGATCCCATGACCCCAAGATCATGATCCGAGCCAAAATCAAGAGTCAGATGCTCAACCAACTGAGCCACCCAGGTGCCCTTATAGTCCTTTAAAGTGTTTAAAAAATTTATTGCTGACAGATAACGTGACATTGGCCTCATTCTGACATTATGGAAAACAGTTTACCATTTTAGCAGTGAAACCCAGTAGTTTTTTTTGCCCCTTAAATGTAAAAGTGTATAAAATACTCCCTATGTAAAACTTAGAAGTTTTCTTTTTAAAAAGCTTTCCCAGGGGGCGCCTGGGTGGCTCAGTCGTTAAGTGTCTGCTGTCGGCTCAGGTCATGATCCCAGGGTCCTGGGATCAAGCCCACATCGGGCTCCCTGCTCAGCGGGAAGCCTGCTTCTCCCTCTCCCACTCCCCCTGCTTGTGTTCCCTCTCTCGCTGTGTCTCTCTCTGTCAAATAAATAAAATCTTTAAAAAAAAAAAAAGCTTTCTCAGGCAAAACAAAGTAGGATTTTTCATAACTTTTCATAGTGTTTTTCGTAGATAAAAATGTCTGGTTAAATATTCTTCATTTTTAAAATTTTTAAATTTTTAATTGAAGTGTAACTGACATAAGAATGTTTTAGTTTCAGGTGTACAGCACAGTGAATGGACATTTATATACATTACAAAATGTTTACCATGGTAAGTGTAGTTACCACCTCTCACCAAAGTTAATATAATATTATTGACTATATTTCCTAGTGTTGTACTTTTCTTTCCTGTGACTTATTTTATAACGAAGTTTTTAACCTCTTAATGCCCTTCACCTATTTGGCCCATTCTACCACTCCCCTCCCCTCTGGAAACCACCAGTTTGTTTTCTGTATATAGAATCTGTTTCTGTTTTTGTTTTGTTTTTTAGATTCCATATTTAAGTGAAATCGTACAGTATTAGTCTTTCTCTGACTTACCTCATTTAACCTAATACCCTTGAGGTCCATCCATGCGTCCATGTTGTCACAAATGGCAAGATCTCTTTTTTTTATGGCTGAGTAGTCGTGTGTGTGTGTGTGTGCGCGTGTGCGTGTACCCACACCACATTTTCTTTATCCTTTCATCTTCTGTGGACACTTGGGTTGCTTTCGTATCTTGGCTGTTGTAAATGCAGTGAATATAGGGGTGCGTTTATCTTTTCAAATTAGCACTTTTGTTTTCTTTGGATAAATGCCCAGAAGTGGAATTACTGGATCATGTGGATCATCATCTGATTTTACTGTGTTGAGGAACTTCCATACTGTTTCCATAGTGGCTGCACCAGTTTACATTCCCACCAACAGTGCACAAGGGTTCTCTTTTCTTCATAGTCTCACCAACACTTGCTATTATATATATATATATACACATATGTGTGTATATATATGGTTTTTTATATGTACACCAGCCATTCTGACAGGTTTGAGGTGATAATCTCACTGTGGTTGTGATTTGCGTTTCTCTGGTGATTAGTGATGTTGACCATCTTTTCATGTGTCCATTGGCTGTTCATGTGTCCATTGGCTGTATGGTGTTTTTTTGTTTTTGCCTTTTTTTTTTTTTTTTTTTTTTTTAAGAAGTGTCTTCAGGTCCTCTGCTCATCTTTTAATCAGATTGTTTGGGTGTTTTTTTGCTGTTGAGTTCTATGAGTTTTTTTTTTTTTTTTAAGATTTTATTTATTTATTAGAGAGACAGCCAGAGAGGGAATACAAGCAGGGGGAGTGGGAGAGGGAGAAGCAGGCCTCCTGGTGAGCAGGGAGCCGGATGTGGGGCTCGATCCCAGGATCACAACCCGAGGCTAAGGCAGATGCCCAATGACTGAGCTGCCCAGGCGCCCCATGAGTTCTTTATGTATTTTGGATATTGACCCCCTATTGGATATATTGTTTGCAAATATCTTCTCCCATTTAGTAGTTTGCCTTTTCATTTTGTTGGTATTTTCCTTGGCTATGCAAAAACATGTTAGTTTGATATGACCCTATTGTTTATTTTTTGCTTTTGTTGCCCTTGCCTGAGGAGACAGATCCAAAAAATATTGCTAAGACCAATGTCCAAAAATCTACTGCATATGTTTTCTTTTAGAAGTTCTGTAGTTTCAGGGCTTGTATTCAGGTCTTTAATCCAATTTGAGTTTTTGTGTGTATGTGTGCATGTGGTAAAAGAAAGTTACTTCACTCTTCTGCATATAGCTGTCCAGTTTTCCCAGCACTATGAGGAGACTGTCTTTTCACTATTGTATATTCTTGCTTCTTTTGTTGTAGATTAATTGCCAGTATAAGTGTGGGTTTATTTCTGGGCGTTCTGTTCTGTTCCATTGTAAAGAGAGAGAGAGAGTGCGTGTGTGTGTGTGTGTTGTGCCAGTGCCATACAGTTTTGATTATTATACCTTTGTAGTATAGTTTGGAATCTAGGATTGTGATCCTTCTAGGTTTGTGATCCTTCCAGCCTTTTCTTTCTCAAGATTGCTTTGGCTATTTGGAATCTTTTGTGGTTTCATATAAATTGTAGGATTATTTGTTCTGGTTCTGTGAAAAATCCTATTGATACTTTGTTAGGAATTGCACTGAATCTGTAGATTGCTTTGGGTAATATGGGCATTTTAACAATATTCTTCCAATCTATGAGCATGGTGTATTTTTTCATTTATTAATTGTCTTCATTTTCTTTCTTCAGTGTCTTAATAGTTTTCAGAGTACAGGTCTTTCACCCCTTGATTAAATTTATTTCTAGGTATTATATTCTTTTTTTTTTTTTTTAAAGATTTTTATTTATTTATTTGACAGAGAGAGACACAGCGAGAGAGGAGCACAAGTGGGGGAGTGGGAGAGGGAGAAGCAGGCTCCCTGCAGAGCAGGGAGCCCGATGCGGGACTCAATCCCAGGACCCTGGGATCATGACCTGAGCTCAAGGCAGTCGCTTAACCAACTGAGCCACCCAGGCGCCCCTCTAGGTATTATATTCTTAAAATCATTTTTAAAAACGATTTACAGAATTAGGGTGCGCATGAGCAGAAAGAGAGGGAGAGAATCTCCGAGCATGGAGACAATCGCTCAGCATGGAGCCTGATGCAGGGCTCAATCCCATGGCCCTGAAACCATGACCTGAGCCAAAACCAAGAGTTGGATGCTCAACCAACTGAACCACCCAGGTGCACCTCTGGGTATTTTCTTTTTAATGCAGTTGTAAATGGGATTATTTTCCTAATTTCTCTTTCTGCTAGCTTGCTTTACTGAATTCATTCTAAATTTTTTTTTTTGGGTGGTCTTTAGGGTTTTCTATATATAGATAGTATCATGTCATTTGCAAATAGTGACAATTTTACTTCTTTAGCAATTTGGATGCCTTTTATTTCTTGTCTGATTGCTGTGGCGAGGACTTGCAGTACAATGTTGAATAAAAAGTGATTAGAGTGGACATCCTAGTCTTGTTCCTGATCTTAGAAGAAAAACTTTCAGCTTTTTACTGTTGAGTATCAGGAGTGGGTGTCATATATGGCCTTTATTATGTTACAGTATATTTCCTCTGTACCCACTTTAAGAGTTTTTTTTTTATTTTTAATCATAATGGATGTTGAATTGTTAAATCCCTTTTCTGCATCTATTGAAATGATCATATGATTTTTATCATTGGTTGATTAATGTGGTGTATCAGATAGTTGCAGATATTGAACCATCCTTGTCTGCCTGAAATAAATCCCACTTGATCGTGGTGAATGATCCTTTTAATATATTGTTGACTTTGGAATTTTCTGTGTGTATATATGTTAAGTCCATCTGGTAATGTGTCATTTAAAGCCATGTTTCTTTACTGATTTTTTGGTCTGTATGATCTATCATTGATGTAAATGGGTGTTAAAGTCTCCTGTTATTATTGTATTACTGTCAGTTAATTTCCTTCTGTCCTTCCGTCCTTCCTCTCTATGCCCAACATGGGGTTTGAACTCATGACCTTGAAATAAAGAGTCACATGCTCTACTGACTGAGCTAGCCAGGTGCTCCTGCCAACGTCTTTCTTTATGCTTAATATTTGCTTTATATATTTAGGTGCTCCTATGTTGAGTGCATCGATATTTACAGTTGTTTTATCTTCTTGTTGGATTGATCCCTCTATCATCATGTAATGCCCTTCTTTGTCTTGTTACAGTCTTTTGTTTTAAAGTCTTTTTGTCAGATACAGGTGTTGCTGCCCCATTTTTTTTTTTTAATTTCCATTTGCACAAAATACCTTTTTTTATCCATTCACGTTCAGTCTGTATGTGTCTTTAGGTCTGAAGTGAGTCTAATAGGCATCATATAGTTGGGTTTTTTTTTTAAATATTTATTTGACACAGAGAGAGGGGGAGGGAGAGGGCACAAGCAGGGGGAATGGCAGGCAGGGGAGAAGCAGACTCCCTGCTGAGCAGGGAGCCCAACTGGGGGCTTGATCCCAGGACTCTGGGATCATGACCTGAGCCGAAGGCAGCCGCTTAACTGACTGAGCCACCCAGGCGCCCCGGGTTTTGTTTTTTTTAATCCATTCATTCATTCACCCTATGTCTTTTGATTAGTGTTTAGGTCATTTACATTTAAAATAATTATTGTGGTATAGGTGTATACTTATTGCCATTTTGTTAATTCTTTTCTTGTTGTTTTGTAGTTCTCTGTTCCCTTTTCCTTTTCTTTCTTTCCTTGTGTTTTGGTGACTTTTTTAGTGTTACGCTTGAGTCCCTTTCTCTTAATTTTTTTTTGTGTCTATTACAGGTTTTTGGCTTGTGGTTACCATAAGGTTCATATATAATGTCTTATGTATATAGCAGTCTGTTTTAAGTTGATGGTCACTTAAGTTCATATATTCTAAAAACACTACATTTTTACTCCCTCCATGTTTTTTTTTTTTTTTTAATTTGTGTGTGTGAGAAAGAGAACGAGAACGAGCAGGAAGGGCAAAGGGAGAGGGGAAGAGAATCTCAAGCAGACTCTGTGCTAAGCACAGAGCCCAACACAGGGCTCAGTCTCTCACAACCCTGAGATCAGGATTGAGCTGAAACCAAGAGTTAGACGGTTAACCAACTGTGCCACCCAGGCACCCCCCTCCCTCCATGTTTTATGTATATGAGGTCACATTTTACATCTTTTGTGTATCCCTTAAGTAATTATTGTAGACATGATTGATTTTATTATTTTTGTCTTTTAGCCTTCATACTAGCTTTATAAGTGATTGATCTCTTTACTATATGTTTGCTTTTTTTTTTTTTTTTTTTGACAGAGAGAGAGGGAGAGCACAAGCAGGGGGGATGGGGGAGGGAAAAGCAGGTTTCTCCACTGAGCAGGGAGCTTGATACAGGGCTCGATCCCAGGACCCTGGGATCATGACCTGAGCCGAAGGCAGACTCTTAACTGAGCCACTCAGGCTCCCCTATATGTTTGATTTTAGCAGTGAAACTTTTTTTCTTTCGTAATTTTCTTACCAGCCTATTTTTTTCCACTTAAAGAAGTCCCTTTAACATTTCTTGTAAGGCCAGTTTAGTGGTGATGAACTCTAACTTTTGTTTGTCTAGGAAACTCTTCTTCAGTTGTGAGTGATAACCATGCTGGGTTGAGTATTCTTCGTTGTAGTTTTCTTTTCTTTCAGCACTGTGAACATATCGTGCCACTCTTTCTGGACTGCAGAGTTTCTGCAGAGTTGATGTGAAAAGGTCAGCTTGTTTGTGTCTGAAGGTGTCAGCCTTCCAGGTGGAGGGAAGAAGAAATTCAAAAGTCCTGTGACTTTAAGCTTGACATGTTTGTTCAGAAAGAAGGAGTTTGGCTTATATTCTGAGTCTCAAATAGGGGAGGGATATGTTGAGTTGCATCTTTAAGATTGCTCTGGTTGCTCTGTATTTCTAGATCAAGGGAACCATATCATTTCAGGCTAGTGAGATGCTCAGATGAACCCTCTTTCCTCATCTTTTTCTCTCATCTGGTTCTAAACTTCTTCATCTCTTCCTTTTTTAGTTGGGAAAAAAGATCTAGGGAAAAGAGCTGTGGGTGCCCCTAAGAAGTGACCTTATGGTAGTGAAGGGTTAGAATTAGGAGTGTGAAGGGGCTCAGGTTTAGGTGCCAGAGGGGAAGGCAGTGTGTCATGGCCCTGCCACTTGAAGGCTGTGATGTCTTGTCCTGCCTCTCCCCCTTACACAAATACAATAGGCTTCATAGAAATTTAGTTGTAATAGTAAAACACAAAAAACCAAAAAGTAGATAGATAATATATAGGAAGTAAAAATTCCTCACAATCCTGCTGAAATAATCACTGTTAATACTTTATTATTCTAGATTTTCTCACCTCTTTATGATTCTAGATTTTCCTCTTTCTAGACTAATATAAAAAGAGGTTCAAACTATATTTTTCATTTTTTGTCTTAGATGGCTTTTCTCCATCTGCACATACAGATTACTTCATTTACCACATAGATATTAACATTATGTTTAGTTCCCTGTTAGGTATTGGTCTTTCCCAGTTTTTAAGGCTGTGAATAATGCTATAACGAAGATGCTTGTACATATATCTTTTCTCTTTTTTAAGTTTTTATTTGAATTCCAGTTAACATTCAGTGTAATACTAGTTTCAGGTGTACAATTTAATGGTTAAGCACATACATACATCACCCAGTGCTCATCACAAGTGCACTCCTTAATCCCCATCACCTAATTAACTCATCCCCCTACCCACCTCCCCTCTGGTAGCCATCAGTTTATTCTCTGTAGTTAAGGGTCTGTTTCTTGGTTTGCCCCCCTCTCTCTTTTTTTCTCTGTGCTCATTTGTATATATCTTTATACACTTGCCTTATACTTGTGTAGGATAAATTCCTAAAGAGTGCAATTGAATTACTAGGTCAGTCTTTAAATTTTCTCAGCTGCAAAATGGGGATGTAAGTCCTACCTAGAATATTTCTCTAAGGATTAGGTTGGATAATATGAATGGGATGTATGCAGTATATACTTCCTCATAATAGTAGGCACTTAGTAGATGGTAGGTATTATTAATAATAAGACCAAGTAAGTTTCTAAGGGAAGAAGGTGTGAGAAGGATGGGATTCCCTGTCAACATCACCATTTTCTAAAGAAGGAGATAAACCTCACTTCTGCATGATTGCTGACTCCCAGTCAATCCCAGGGCATGGTGTGTCCAAACTGCACAGTATCTAACTTTATCGTCATTCTGTGACTGTCTGTAGATTTCTATTGCAGTTTTCTTGTTGCCTACTTAAAACATTTGGTTATTTTTGGTTAGGTGACTATCTCTGCTTGCTCCTGTTTATAAGTTCGTTTTTGTACCAAAACTGAACTGTGAATGTTATGGTGGAAAGTTCATGAACTTTAAATTTAAACATCCATGGAATCTGGTTATTTTACCTATCATTTGGGTATTTTGGGGCAAGTAGTGTGATTTTTCTGTGCCTCATTTGTTTAAAGGGTAAATGGAGGATGGGATTTAAAGGCTTTGAGATCCTTATACACATTAAGTGAGATCATTTATATATCAAGTGTCTAATACACATCCTAGAAATACTAATTTCCTTCCTTTAAGGCAGAAAATTATGACTTTTACAGTTCTTTTTTAAAATTTCACTTCTCATAGTACTTACATGTTACTGATACCCAAGGGTAGTCACTTGCACTTAATATACAATAACTAAAGAAGAAGAGAAATGTAATTTAAAAAAATATTAGAAGCCAGGAGACCTGGGCCCATGGTCCAGGTTGGCTTTTAACTGGTGGTATAACCCTTGATGAGTCTTTTGATCTCTAGCCCTGATTTTGCTCATTTTTTAGTTGTCTATGAAATATTTTATGGAAATAGACTAATATAGAAGTTTTCTGATTTATTTAAGCAGAAGGTGTCACTTAAGAGAAAGTCCACATACTACTATTTTCTAAGTAGATACTGTGTTGTTGAGTTAGTTCCTTTTGTTCTAGAATTGTGTTTTTTTTTTTTTTTTAAATCTTAATTAGGTTTAAGTATTGTGTAAGCTGCATCAATGGAGCACATACAGGGGGCCTGGAAGACGATCAGCAACGGTTTTGGATTCAAAGACACAGTGTTTGACGGCCCCAGCTGCATCTCCCCTACAATAGTTCAGCCGTTTGGCTTTCAGCGTCGGGCATCAGATGATGGCAAACTTACGGACTCGTCTAAGACAAGCAACACTATCCGTGTTTTCTTGCCAAACAAGCAAAGAACAGTGGTATGTAAATGTTTCCTTTCAGAAAATTTCGCGGTCCATCTGCCTATAAAAAAGCATTTTGGATAATTTTACTCACCTTGAAGATGGGCAAAATCTTCACTGTCACTTAGTGTCTTTATTAATTGGCTTTCCAGTTGTAGATTTTATTACTTTATATTGCTGTGTTCCTTCCACATCCCCTCCCCTACTTTCCTCCCACTCCTTGGCCTTCCTTTTATTATTACTCTTGCCTGGAATATCTTCTGCCACTTCATTCAAACAAATAGTATGTTTTTGTGGGGGGGTTTCTTTTTTTTTAGAGATTTTATTTATTTGACAGAGAGAGACACAGCGAGAGAGGGGAACACAAGCAGGGGGAGTGGAGAGGGAGAAGCAGGCTTCCTGCAGAGCAGGGAGCCCGATGCGGGGCTCGATCCCAGGACCCCGGAATTATGACCTGAGCCGAAGGCAGACGCTTAACGACTGAGCCACCCAGGCGCCCCGTGTTGGGGGGGTTTCTTGAAAAGACTTTTCTTTTGACGCTCCCTTAGACCTTTCCAGCTGATTTTTATGTATGTATGTGTTATGGATATTAAAATGCTTACTAAATTTTTTGGACATTACAGTCACATATATAGAAGAAAATAAAATTACCTAGAAAAAATTATTTTGGTAAATTTTGTAGGCCCCAGGCAAAGCTGAAGGTAGCTTAGAAAGTACAGCAACTTAGAAACTGCCTCTCAGTTTTCTGACATAGAATCCCAACTTTTCCAAGAAATTACTGTTCAAAACAGTTTCTTACTATTCTGGGTGAAAAAACCCTACCTGGTTAAAACAGGAAAGTGAAGTTGTGCTAATTTTGCTTGGTGGAACATTTGGAAAAAACCTTTAGTTCAAAACTTCCACACCTCCTCCTTTCCCACCCCCATTTTTGAGTAAAATCAGTGCATTGTCTTTTTTTCTGTGTACCTATGTGAGACAAAGTTCTGAGGTTAGGAAGCTCGGTCCAGAATTTTCTGTTTGTTTCTGACAGTTCTGCTCTCCTCTCCCCAGTTTACTAATAAATTCCGTTGTACTTCTTTTGTGAACTTCAGGAGCCTCCCAGTTACAGTATTGTACATTTATGTACGTTTTGAACTGAAGGCAAAACTCAAAAGGTATTTAAATAGTTTGAGTAAATTTATTTTTGTTCCCCTTCCTAAAAATAAAAGTTTAATGGCTGGCAAAATAAATAGTAATAACCTCCTTATATTTCAACAGTGGCCTTTCATTTGCAAGATGATTTTTACCTACTATTGCTCATTAATTTTCTTTCTAACCTTAAATGGAGAACCCAGATGGGGAGTGTGAATGTAATGGGAAGCTGAAGACCATATAGTACTGCTTCAGGGTGTTACCGTGCCGGTCTTCCCTATTCTCTACTACCAGATTGCCTGAAAACTGGGAAACTTAGTTTGGCATAATGATTAAGTGTATGGGCCTTTAAGACAACCAGGCCCCAATTTAAATCCCTGTATTGCCTTTTATTAGCTGTATCATCTAGACAAGTTACATAATATTTTGAGCCTCTGTTTCCTGACCTTAATGAAATGAGGCGCATGCTGAATACAGTAGCTAGTTTATAAGAAAGTGGTAGCTATGATTGAGTTTTTTCTACATCTGTGTAGCCCCTGACAGCTTTCGGTTTAGCACAGCTGGTGTTTGGAAACCAGTGATTTGGAAGCTTGATTCTCATACAGCTTATGAGAAGGCTCTAGCAGAGAAAGTTAGTTTCTCCTAATTCTTTGACCAGAGATGGACCATCACTCTCTGGAAGAACCGTCTTCTTTCAGCAGGCACCCATCTTTAGGGGACCACTGGAAGGAGTCACTTGCTCGTGGTCAGCATGATGAGTCAGCAGTTTCTAATCATCCCCAGGTTGTTTCACTGCTTGGAACCCAGAATGACTCTCATAATCACTTAGTGGGCTCCAGAAATTAGTCAGACTTAACTAATTTCAACATGTATCCATGGGGAGTTGTAGAGAGGAGAATGACTGAAAGGATACATATATGATTTAATTAATTGTAGAAGTATACTTGGTAGTTGATTGGAAAACAACCTCTTTCTTGTCATTTTGTACGTGTGTGTGTCTGTCGCTGCCTGTTTACTGGATGGGTGATTGGACCGTAGCTGAGGACCATTAATTTACCATTAGAATCACCTGACATGGGTTAAAATACAGATTCCTGGGCTTAATTCAAGATCAAGTGAATCAGAATCCTTGGATGTGTTGGAGTGGGGAGGCTGGGAATCTATATTTACAAAAGCTCCTTGGCTGATTCTAATGCCAGTCACATTTGGGAACCCCACTGGATTAGAGAATATTTAAACTGTCTAGCTCTTAGAGGCTATATGTCTTTTATTTATTTATTTATTTTTTTTTAAAAGATTTTATTCATTTATTAGAGCAAGCATGAGCGGGGGTGGGGCGGGGCGCAGAGGGAGAAGCAGACTCCCTGCTGGGCAGGGAGCCCGACGTGGGACTCAGTCGTAGGACCCTGGGATCATGACCCTGAGCCAAAGGCAGATGCATAACTGACTGAGCCACCCACGTTCCTGAGTCTGTAACTTTTAATGAAGGTTAATGATAGAGCAGATAGCACTTTATATTTTTCAGAGCCCCATTACACAGTATTTGATGCAAGTAATGATTGTTAGTGTGTGTTTTACTCTTCATTGTCCTCATTCTTGGTGTCTTGTCTTCATAGTTCAGATCAGTATATCTCACTTTCACTTAGTTTTGTTTCTGAAAAGCTAGAAGTTAGTGGATCTTTCTAAGGGCATAACTGCTTCAAGAATTCTAAAATAAACTTGCTATGGAACATTTTAAATAAATACTTCAGACTTTTCAAATAGATCCAAGCACACACTCACCTTCCTCTGGGAAGGGACTGGGTCGGCCACTGTCCGCTCTCACACTTTCACTGAACACAGGAACTCCACTGAGAGCACTGCAGAAACCCCGCAGATCTACATTCTGTTCTCCTTACTGGCCAATCTGACTCTAGTTGCCTCACTTTTAATTAACTTTATTGGCTTTGAAAACAAAATGTATGGGGGGTGCCTGGGTGGTTTGGTTGGTTGAGCATCCGACTCCTGATTTTGGTTCAGGTCATGATCTCGGGGTTGTGCGATTGAGCCCTGTGTTGGGCTCAGTGCTGAGTGTGGAGCTTGCTTGGGATTCTCTCTCTCCCTCTGCCCCTCCCTCCCTCTCCTCTACCCCCTGTTGTGTGCGACTCTCTCTAAAAAATAAAATAAAAACAAAATATATGGGGCCTTTATCAAAACTCTTAAGGTTTTTTTTTCTTTTTTTTCTTATGTTAACCATACATTACATCATTAGTTTAAGATCTTTTTTTTTTAAAGATTTTTTTTTTAAGACTTTATTCATTTATTTGACAGAGAGACACAGCGAGAGAGGGAACCACAAGCAGGGGGGAGTGGGAGAGGGAGAAGCAGGCTTCCCGCTGAGCAGGGAGCCCGATGTGGGGCTCGATCCCAGGAACCTGGGATCATGACCTGAGCCAAAGGCAGACGCCCAATGACTGAGCCACCCAGGTGCCCCGAGGTCTTTTTATATAGCTGCCATTATTAGCATCCCGAGTATTCACACTTCTACTAGGCCTCTGAGTGCCTGCCTAGCTTTTGAGGATTGGGTACAGGAGAATGTGGAGGGACATAAACTAAGGCTACCTGGAATGGTGTGCGCATTTATTTAAACTCGTGGTGTTTGTCTTTGTAGCAGGACAGGAGCTCTGTTTCCTCTTCTTGCTTGCCCTTACAGGTGTGAAGTGTATATGAAATGGAATTTTTCTTAGGAGGATAAACCATTTTGTTGAAAACAGGTTGAAATACAAATTTTGGCCAGAAAAACTCTTGTTTGCTTATAGAACAGATTGGTTTATTTTCCTTTCTGGTGGATGTTCATGCTTGCATGTACATTTCAGCGAGTTAAACAAATTAGAGCTGTGTCAAGAGAAGTTTGATCATTTTATCTCTCTCAGCCACTCCCCTCATGTTAATAGCTAGAGGCGTATCTTTTCACACTCATGCAACATATATAAACATACATGGGTTTCCCACCCTTTGAATAATCTGACTCTGTTATTGTGAAAAATATTTTCCCACAATTAACATATCATGGATACCCCTCTCTCTAGGTCATTATAAATAATATAGTAGTGGCAGTGACATATAAAGATACTCTAGGCTTTATTCAAGCACTCACCTATTGCTGGACATTCCAGGTATTTCCTGCATGTGTATGTATTTACCATTACAGACAATGCTGTCATAAATCTACATATATCCCTACAGAATGATGCATTTATTTCTGTGCTCACTAAGGGATGTGCAGCCTTTGTTGGTTCTAAAGATGGTCTTTTGTTTATAGGTCAATGTGCGGAATGGAATGAGCTTGCATGATTGCCTTATGAAAGCGCTCAAGGTGAGGGGCCTACAGCCGGAGTGCTGTGCCGTGTTCAGACTTCTCCATGAACATAAAGGGTAAGAGCTCAAAAGTCAGCTCCTTTTTCATACTAGTAAGGAGCTGATGGCTTCAAATAATAACAGTTCCCATTTCTTAAAAAGTATACTAGCTTCCTATAGAATATTATGTGTTTATATGCCCTTGTTCATAGACAACTCAGAAAAATAAAATACTAAGAACTTGAAATTATTGCTTGAACATTGCATTGAAAAAAGAATACATATTAGGTGTTGATAGTGTTCCATAGATGGAAACGGTAGTGTCAGGTGATGTGTTTCTTGAGAGCAAAAATTTTTGTGTTTCCTGGAATGCAGTGGAAGAATGGGTACTCAGAAAATGTTTGCATTTTTATAGTTAAAGAATCTTATCCTCAAGAGATTAACTCTTTTGTAATTCATTCATTTTTTTTTTTAAGTTTTTATTTAAGTAATCTCTACACTCAGTGTGGGGCCTTGAACTCAGGACCCTGAGATCTAGAGTTACATGTTCTTCTGACTGAGCCAGCCAGACACCCCTTATTTATTCATTTTTTATACAGTTAATGTTTATTGAATCCCTGCAGTTGGGCAGACATAGGACTAAAAGATGCAGGAGATTGTCTGCTTCAAGGAAGATCCATAGTTAATCTTCTTTCTAATGGTGGTGGCAAGATAGAGGTATCCGATCAAAGGCTAGGAGTAATAACCCATAGCTTCCATACTTATCCATTATCTATTATTATCCCCCCCAATTTGGGGGAAGTAATCTTTACTTTCTTCTTGGAAAATGCTAGTTCTGTTACTGATCTTCAGCTTACATCTTTTCTGTTTCAAGGAGTTCCACAGTTTGAGAGAATAGCCTAGGGAATGAGTCAACTCAAAAGGGCCATCTTAAATTCCACTATGCTCTTCCTCTCAGCTTAGGAGGCAGTTTTTTGAAGTGCAGATCTTTGAAGCAGATGTCAGCTTTATCTGAATGTAGGCCCCAGGTTGGTCTCAAGCTAATCTGTAGTGCTCCTTAAGGACTAGAGGGATTCTGGGACAGTGAGGGGCTTGTCCACTCTCATCTAAGGCCACATTGGTTTAGAGCTACCGTCGCTTTTCTCTTGGACAGATAGCACCTGAAGACTGATGAGAACATAGGGCTGCCCCCCCCCCTTTCTTTAGGGTAAAATAGTACTTTGGAGTCCTTGTATAGGGAATTATATTAAGGAATGGATTATTTGCTATTGGATAACCAGAAAAATGGCTGGAATAGGCTTCTGGTAAGCAAAGGGAGAAGTTTGAATTGTGCTATATATGTGTTGTTTTCTCCCTACTTTAGAATATTCTTCCTTCAGGAAGTGGGCCTGATGAACTAACAACACAAGACATGAGAAAGTTTCTTTTTTTTTGAAGCTTTTTACTTCGTTGTATCTGTTTTTCTGTGTTGTCTAGGCATAGAAAGAATGGTGGCAGGGTAAATGTTAAGACAGTGAAGTCCACTATCAACTTATATTTATAGACCCTGCAAACAACTCTACATATGTGAGCCTATTATTAATAGAAAAGTGCATTTCATTTGCAATTCTTTTGTATTTATGTATCTGCCTGACTGAAGTAGGCTACAGAAGATTAAATTTTGCTTTTACAGCAATATTTATACCCAATTTTAGGATTTTAGAATTTTTATAGGATTTTAATATCACAAAGTCCAATGTATTACATATTTACTTTATCGTGAGATCATTATAGTTCATTCTTTTAATACTTTTTTTTTTAAGAGAAAGGGAGGGGTGGGGCAGAAGGAGAGCGAAAGGAGAGAATCCCAAGCAGACTCCCTGCTGAGCACAGAGACTGACTTGGCTGGATCCCACAATCCCGAGATCATGACCTGAGCTGAAATCAAGAGTCCAGATGCGTAACCGGCTGAGCCATCCAGGAGCCCCGTTGTGTAGTTCGTTATTTTAAAATAACCTTTATTCTAAGAGCACAAGCTTTAGAGTCCAGCTGAGCTGGATTCCAACATAGGCCTTTACACTCACTGTGTGGCCTTGTTAGGGCCCCCATTCTCTCATTTTAAAGATGGGGATAATAATGCATACTTGATAGGTTTGTTGTGTGAATTAAATAAGCTAGTGTTATATGGGATTAAGTTTTATGTTTATATAGTAAGAGATAAATGGTAGCCATTGTTGTTTATTGGCCTTGAACTCTTAGCTTGTTTAAACATTTCCCTTTTATATTATGTTTTTAAAAATCCCCTGCAGTAAAAAAGCACGTTTAGATTGGAATACTGATGCCGCCTCATTGATTGGAGAAGAACTTCAAGTAGATTTCCTGGATCACGTTCCCCTTACAACACACAACTTTGTAAGTTACAGAGTTCTTCTCTTTTTGTGGCATGTTGGGTGCTTTGGCTGGCATAATAGGACTTTCTCAGAGGTACGAGGCATATATATTGTTGGATTGTTCAAAACTGCCATTATGCCATTGTTTACAGTAAGGCAGTTTAGGTTTAATTAGCCACAGATAATACATGAATTTTACAAATGTTGGAAGTACGATTCTTCATTCTGTTTTAAGACCTCTTGGAGACCAAGACGGAAATTACTTTGTCTTTTGTTGTCTTTCATTTATTCAACATAATTTACACCTGTGTTCTTGTTCTAGGCACGGAAGACCTTCCTGAAGCTTGCCTTCTGTGACATCTGTCAGAAGTTCCTGCTAAATGGATTTCGTTGTCAGACTTGTGGCTACAAATTTCACGAGCACTGTAGCACCAAAGTACCTACTATGTGTGTGGACTGGAGTAATATCAGACAGCTCTTGTAAGGCATTGTTCTTATTTCAAAGAATATAAGTGGGTGGGAAGGTATAAACTCTTTTGAAGGTGCTTATTGTATATTTGACTGACAAGTCTGGGTTTTAGACTTATTAAATGAATTAGCATGATCTGGAAACCATCTCCTTTAGAAACATGACAGTTCTGAAGCCCGCGAGTTTTAGTGTGGCATAGCTCTCTAAAACTAGCAGGTTATAGGACTGTTATCTGTCAAATAGAGATTGATGTGCTGTGATTCAGTAAAGCAAAGAACAAAAGGATGTGAAAACCAAAGACTTTCTTGGCTATCCTCTCTCAGCAGTATCATCTATTCGGTTGCTAGTAAACACTACTCTTTATTTTGTTAAATATGCTAAACAGACCTTTGTTATTGAGAAGGGGCAGAAAGCATGGTTGGTGTTATTTTCTTCACCTCTAACTGGAGAAAACATTAGTTTTAAAGTGATGTAAAACTTCAGAAGATACTTGTGTTTAGTGAGGTTTAAGTTGAAACTACATGTTCCAAATTGCCTTTTAAGAACTGTTAATGGGGGTATGAAAAGTCAAAATTTTATCCCTTTTTGAGAGTCCTAGAAAAACAAAGGGAGTGTTGTCATTAAACCACGATGGGAATGCCTCTTTTGCTTTCCCGGCAGTCACATTGCTTTTGCTTGTGTAGCCTGAGTGGCACAGGCTTGGAGTTTGGCAGACATGGGTGAGAACCTTGACGTTACCATTAACTAACTAATCACCGCTGAGCCTCAAGTGCACTCATCTGAAGAAAAGGGTAGAAAAGGTGCACTCATCTGAAGAAAACCCTCCTTGCAGGGTTCCCGTGAGGATTTAGTGAGGTAGCACCTGTGAAATTGCTGGGCACAAGTGTTCATCTCATTGAAAGAAGATGCCAGTTAATGCTAATCACTTTTATTTATGATTTTTGGTGCTGAATGACATTTTTCATATTCGGTCTTTTTATAAGTGTGTTTCCAAGACAGAATATTTCCAGAAAAGTTCTATGTGATTTAGCTTATCATGTACCCTGCGATAGTGTTAAAACTGGATACTGGACCAGTATTCTTTTTTTAGAAATGCACACTAGAGCCTATATGTTCATTGGCAGGTCAGTATTGTTCACATTCTGTACTCATTCAAACCCAGTCATTTGGGTTGGTGGTCCCTTTTGCTCTGGGTAGCCTAAAATGGTCGAGCAAAATGTGACTAGAAGATGTTTAGTTTGAGTAGCTGTTAGCAAGAGTAGCAAGGCAAGGCAGTCTGACCCTGTAAAATTACTGCAATTCTTCCTCTGATTTCATGTAGATTGTTTCCAAATTCTACTATTGGTGATAGTGGGGTCCCAGCACTGCCTTCTTTGACAATGCGTCGGATGCGAGAGTCTGTTTCTCGGATGCCTGTTAGGTAATTTTTTTACTTACAGCTTTTCTTTGGAAAATTCTATTGGGGTGGGTGGGATTAAAAGCCTGAATACAAAAGACTGGAGTTCCTTTGCATTTCCTTCTCTCCCTGTGTAAACCCTTTACTACTGCGGGACTTAATACTGGTGTTAAAGCAAAATGTGGTCCTGTAGCTTTTACATTTTGGAAAGTGACTGTGACTGCAGTTTTCTTCTATTATCATAGCATGTCCCTTTATAGCTCATCACATTTTAAAGAGCTTCAGATTTTGCCTCCCTCCGTATGGTAGCAAGTTGTACCTCAAGGGAAGGGTCCCAAAACTATATACAATGATCCAATAAAAATAAAACTCCTAACTTTGGAATGCTAATTATGGCCTTGCATTGCTAAAAACCATGGTATTTAATAGACTGTGATCTTTAAAAAGAGTCGAATTAGATTTTTTAAATTTTCATAAAGATTTTATTTATTTATTTGAGAGAGAGAGAGCACAAGTGGGATGAGAGTCAGAAGGAGAAGCAGATTCCCCGCTGAGCAGGGAGCCCCCGATGTGGGACTCGATGCCGGGACTCCAGGATCATGACCTGAGTCGAAGGCAGACACTTAAGGACTGAGTCACCCAGGCGCCCTCGAATTAGATTTTTAATATGAATATCCTTTCTGATGTGCCTGTGAGTTTGGACATAACTTGTTTTTATTCTGATCTCCACCTTTAAAGTCAGAGCTTTGTTGAGTTCACTTGTCTTGTTCAGTGTTACATATGAATTTGGAACCTAAAATAAAATCTGCATCTTCGTCAAAATATCTGACTTGAATGTATATATAATTGAATAACATTTAATGACCTTTTAAAAACTACCATGGAAATTTTTAAAGGCAGCAGATCTCAGAACAAGGAATTTGTATTGAAATGATATCTGGATATACATTTGTGTATGACTTTTATTTTTCTTGATAATTTGAAAAGCAAGTCTGACCAAAATTTTACATGCTTCTGAAAATTTCATACTAGAAGATAAGCTTCTGAGGGCCTAAACATGCACTTACCTGAGAAGGCAATTTTTCAGGGCAGTAGAACAATTTCTCTTAGAAAAACTAGCCTTTTTTTCCTTGAATTCATGCATAGTGTTACTTGAATCTGAACAAAACTCAAAATAATCTGTAGAGCAAATAATGAAAATGTTATACTTACTGCATGTTCCCACTGTGGTTGATGGGGGAGTGGGGTTGGCTGGAAGAGGCCAGTGATTATTTCACAGTTGCGCATTGGCATCTTGAAAACTGAATTCACATTAACTGACTTTGAAAGCTGGTTAAGTGGGGAGAGGGTGCATAGTGGCTAAAATGCTGGCTTTTTTGCAGAGATGCTCAAATAGTCTGTCTTAAATCTAAGACTCTTCCTTCAAGCTCTCTAAATCAGTCTGGGCAAGTGCCAACTCGCTTGGTTGGTGGTAGCATGGTTGGCAAATGCTAATCTATTCTCTCCTAGAGATGGTCTGAAAATTTTGTATATTCTGTCAAGGTGATTTATTAAATAGAAGACAACTTAAAATGTATTGTTGTTTTCATGTGAATTCCAAGCACATGTATTCTTTCCTTTTTAAAAATTGGCATGCAAAAGCACCTAGACAGAAGAAATTTTTTAAGTGGTGCCTGTTGAAAGAAGGGAACATTTTGTCCAAGGTTTTAGTACAAGTAGGATTTGTCCCTGAGTATCTTAATGAAGTAAATAGTTGAAAGACTTCACTAGTGGGGAGGGCTGAGTGTCATTCATGGAGTTTTCTTTTTCCTCCTTGTCTAGTTCCCAGCACAGATACTCCACACCCCACGCCTTCACATTCAACTCCTCCAGCCCTTCCTCTGAAGGTTCCCTCTCCCAGAGGCAGAGGTCGACGTCCACACCTAATGTCCACATGGTCAGCACCACCCTGCCTGTGGACAGCAGAATGATTGAGGTAATAGGGCCCCTTGTGGGTGGTGAGAAGTATCAGTTTGTTATTGGGGTGGGGTTGACTGTTGTGTCAGAGAGTTTTGGGTTTCTTTTTTTTAATTTATTTTTTATTTTATTTTTCTAAAGATTTTATTTATTTGACAGGCAAAGACAGTGAGAGAGGGAACACAAGCAGGGGAAGTGGGAGAGGGAGAAGCAGGCTTCCTGCCGAGCAGGGAGCCTGATGTGGGGCTCGATCCCAGAACGCTGGGATCGTGACCTGAGCCGAAGGGAGATGCTTAACGCCACCCAAGCGCCCCGAGTTTTGGGTTTCAAACCTGATAAAGAATGTTGCTGCATTTTCTCAGGACCCTGGATTTTGTGAATTTATTTTTTAACCATTATATCTGTACACTGGCTGGATAATCCGACTGGAATATCATTCAAGTGGAGAACTGAAATTTCCTGAAGAAATGTTATTAACATTTGAACTCGTTCTTTCCATTTTAGTTTTGAATAGGACTTGAGTGAACTAGTGAATGAGCTATATAAAGAGTAGTTTGGTGTGGGAAAGAAAATAATAGTGATGGAGAACTACAAGCCCTCTGAGAGACTCTTAAGTGATTTTATTTAGAAATAGAAGGGTGGAGTCATTGGATTACTAAGCAGGTTATTTAGGGAGATGTAAAAGTACCCAAAGCTAGCGTTTTCAAACTGCTTTTTCTTTTCTTGGCTTTTTGGTGTGTTCTATTTGGTTTGCTTTCTAATTCATCTTTAATAACAACTGAATACACTTAAATACTTCCTTTGTTCTTTATTCTTCTTTATTTCTCATTGCTTTGGACTAGAATAACAGCCTGAATGCTTCTCCCAGGGCGTGGTCCAGACGATTTTGTTTGAGGGGAAGAGTAGGTATTCTTCTTCATGCCTTTGCTTTCTTGTAAATTAACAGGATTGCTAAGACTTGGACAGTAGCCTATCAAAAATGAAACAGTCACTAAGTTAAATTTTATATTTCTTGCCAGACTTGTTTTCCCGTTTTCTTTTTTGACAATAGAGTACATAGGAGTTTTAAAAAAAAAAAATGTGGGATTGCTGACAGGTGAAATAAATTCTCAAGTGAGATTTTGAGCCAAGGACATTAAAATGTTTTTAAAAAAATTAATTCCAACCAAAGACTAATGCTAGATTTATTTAGTTGGTGCTCAGAGCATCACTGTTGGTATTTATACCTCTTTTAGAAACAGGACATGTCTATTTGGTTGATATGCCCTGAAAATCTTTTGCTAAAAGCTTATCAGTGACAACTATGTTCTCCCTGCATCATGAATTGTCCTTGAAAAATCTCAGGGACACCTGCCACTTCAGGTACAACTGTATCTCAGACCTCAAATCACTTTCCAAATGCCTGTCCTACCAGTCAGAGGTGGCAGGGACTCAACAAAAATGTTGGCTTCTGCATGTGGGCCTGAACTGGCCATTTGAGGGGGCACTTTGAATAGCACAAGATTATTGTGAGGAGGTCATGTGTATGCAAGGTATGAATTTTGTTACTTCTATCATGATTAATCCTGATAATAAAATGATATACTAGTGATTTCTGTTATATGATTTATTTCTGTGTAAACACCCTAATTATGAGAGGGGACATTAAAAGTGAAAATTCTTGAATTTTTATTAAAAAGTAACTAGCACTATTGTATTAATTCTTTCTAAGCCTAATTTAGAGGCAGAGCAAATTTTGATTTTTTTTTTTTAATCACATGATTCAGCTTTTTAAAGTATACATTCTTTGTTTAAACCATTTGTTGTTCTCTTTAATATTTAGATTACAAGATGATTGAAAAGTTCTTTCTAGGGCACCTGGATGGCTCAGTTGGTTAAGGGGCTGCCTTTGGCTCGGGTCATGATCCCAGGGTCCTGGGATCGAGTCCCCGCATCAGGCTCCCTGCTTGGCGGGGAGCCTCCTTCTCCCTCTCCCTCTGCCTGCCTCTCTGCCTACTTGTGCTCTCTGTCTCTTTGTCAAATAAATAAATAAATAAAATCTTAAAAAAAATTCTTTCTAGGATAAATCCAACTGTAGAAATTAGCTCAGAATAAAATACGAGGTATATAATGGATACAGGGCAGAAAATTACTGTGACATTAAGAAAAAAATCCTAGTGCATAGTAATATAATTCTGGTCAGTAAAAATACATTGTGCCATGCTTTGACTAAAAACAGAGTGGATTAGTTGGACAATAAAGCTATAGCTGCTGAATATTCTGTTGAAATTCACGTTATTTTTGGCCAGTGTTTTGTCTACCCGGCAGTCATCCTGTCTACTTAAAAATAGAGATTCCTGGGCTTCCCAGCTTCCCTCCCAGAAATACTTAATCAGTCCTAGTTGAGGGGAGGAGGAATCGGTATTCTTAAACACCTCTCCAGGTGATTCTAAAGACTGGCCAGGTTTGGGAACCCCAGGTCCAGGCTTTATTGCTTGGGTGGGGCTGCCAGGGGCAGCTTGGTTTATGATTCCTTTTATCTTGTAAAAATGTTATGGAGTGGAAACATTCCATTAATAGTTCTGTGAAAAAAGTATCTTTATTGTGGTTACACAAAGAAAACAGAGTTGGGGTTCCTAGAAAAATACCTTTTTGAGGATATGGAGGCCAAATGGTTTTATATAATAATTATTTCTATATTCCAAGTGAGGATTTATAAAATGGGAATTTAGGTCTTATGGAAGGCCTTGTGATTTAAACTGTTCTACCCAAACAGTTTCTAATAAGTTCTAAAGGTAGTCTTTGACTTCTCACCTAAGTAGAATGTAACTAATTTCAGAGCTTACCCATAAGGTCTCCAGGAGCATTTTGTGGTGAATGAGCTCAGGGCTGAGATCCATGCGTGATGGTTTTGGGTTCTATTTCTGCCACCTACTGGCTGTGTGATCCTGGTCAAATCTCTTTATCTGTTTATATATGTTTTCTTATATGTAAAATGTAGGTTTTGGACTGGGGGATTTATGGTCCTTCCAGCGTTTCATGATTTTAGGCTGGGGTACAGTAATGTAGTCATGGTGCTTTACCCTTATCCAATCCAACTTCTGGTCAATGTGCCCTGAATTCCTAGAAGAGTAAGAGTGAGCTTGCCACCTAATCCCCAAGTTCTGTTTTTGTTTCGTTTTGTTTGAGCCTCAGTGGAGCAAGATCCTCAATCATTGGAAAGATCTCAGCTGATAGTAACTTTGCTAGTGTTCCTGCAGGAGTGTCACTTTGCTATATGCATTGCTTTCTCCTGAGAAAAGGAATGTAGTTTCCATTCCAAGTGAATGTGGTATATGAAAAAGCTAACATCAGTTCTCCAAATAATTGGTGATAATCTTGGAGATAATTGGCTACTGACATTTGGTAAATTTAATCAAAGGAATGTTAGAATATATAATTAGACCTTTTGTATTTTAGAGGTTTTATAATCTACTTTGTTTCTGTAAATTCTCCTCCTCCCCTTTCCTTCCCCCAGAGAACATCTTTTCTGGTGCAGAGATTGACCAGCTTTCCTTTTCTATTTCAGGATGCAATTCGAAGCCACAGTGAATCAGGTACTTGTCCAAAGTTACTTAGCAAATAATAATGGGCTTTTTCTCTTTATGCTATGTATCTTCTGTTGGCTTATCCATGTGTGTATTCTGTTTGTCTTGTCTATTAAGCCTCACCTTCAGCCTTGTCCAGCAGCCCTAACAACCTGAGCCCAACAGGCTGGTCACAGCCCAAAACCCCTGTGCCAGCACAGAGAGAGCGGGCACCAGGATCTGGGACCCAGGAGAAAAACAAAATTGTGAGTATGGCTTACAGTACCTCCTGTGTGTGAGGATTTACTAAGAAAAACCTAGTCAGGATTGAGAGTACTTTTAATTGGGGTAGGGTGGGGGCTCTAATAAAAAAACACTTAATGAAGGGTATCATAAACATCAGTGCCGTTTTTGGCCTGCTCGTGTTGAAGAATTTGGTGGCTTGTTGTAAGGCAGGGCAGAACTAAAATGCTATTTTTTTCAAAATATCAAAATTGGAAGTACAGGTAGTGTCCACCTTTAAAAGATAGGAGAATGGGTGGATTTGGGTTGCTCTTTTCTCTGACACCCTCATTAAACAGAGCTTTACCATTGCATGGAGTGTGTTAATGATCTCTGCTGGTTTCAGAGGCCTCGTGGACAGAGAGATTCAAGCTATTACTGGGAAATAGAAGCCAGTGAAGTGATGCTGTCCACTCGGATTGGGTCAGGCTCCTTTGGCACGGTGTATAAGGGCAAGTGGCACGGTATGTTTGGGGCACGCCTTCTACCGCAAGGCCCACAGAGGGCCAAGGAGGGGGTCCTGTCGATTCACTGTGTTGTGCCGCTCGCGGTCATGCTCTCCAGGGACAACTGATTACATCTGAAGCTTGAACTTCATATCTCAGTGACATTTCACAGCATTGGTCTTAGATTCAGTGATGCTGTAATTGGTATGGTATGGTTTCCAGGTGAACCTAGAAATTGGTGAACAAGAGTTGAGCCCTCTAGTCAAGTGTCAGGAACTGATTAAATCTAGGCTGCACGGGGGATGTGCTTTCAAGTTCCTTAGATGAGTAAGAGTCCACTGCTATGAGGGGGGCATGGATTCTAAAACAGAAAGCTGGAAAAAACCTTAGAGATTGGCATGTAGAAAACTGAGGTCCCAAGAGGGGAACTAACATGCCCATGGTCAAACAGCTGGGCTTAGGAAAGCCTGGAGCCTCATGAAGCAGGTTCTCTTGCGCTGCCCTGGCTCGGTTGTGGGGAACCCCCATCAAGCAGGGAACGCACAGATTTCATTCTTGAATCTATGTGGAGTGTTAGTGTTCTTATTGTAATGGAAACACTTTGTCACTTGGAAGAAAGGTACAATTTTAAAATCTGTGGACACAGCTTATGTATTTTGGCAACATACTTAACATTTTTCCCTCAGATTTTTAATGCCTCTGGCTTTAGGATGTTAGCAAATATAGGGAACATTTGTTTGAAAATGCTCCATGTTCCCCAAAAGTTGTCCTTCTGAATTCACATTTTAATGAAGAAAAAAATAGCCTAAAGTGCCTAGCTATATTTCTAGTTTGGATGGTTTCATGTTTATCTTTATACATACAGGGGCAGAGATTGAGAGAAGTTAAGAACATCAAATGAACAGAGCATTAAAATCAAGGTGTTGAAAACTGAGAAACATCTCCAGTCTTCTGAGTACCTTATGTTAATAAATATATGGGTTTGCCACTTGTAGCTAGCTAATCGTCTGATAAATGTCTTGTTCTTTAAGGAAACTGGCACAGGACTGAATATGTGATTCCTTTTCCTTTGAAGATTGTATCTAGTGTACTACCGGCCTGCCTCCCCGGGTCACAGAGAGTTTATGCTCTTGCAGGGTATTTCCCAAATAGATGTCATAAATGTCTTGGCAATTCCCTTAGAAAGGAAAACAATTAATTTTTTTTTTACTATTGAAGTATAGTTGACATACGGTGTTCATTTAGTTTCAAGTGTACAACATAATGATTTGACAGTCCTGTACATCATGCTCACCACACGGAGTGTAGCTGCCATCTCTGTCACCGTACAGTGTTATGGTATTATTGACTGTATTCCCAGTACTGTACTTTTAGTTCCTGTGACTTATTTCTTTTATAACTGGAGGTTTGTACCTCTTAATCCCCATCACCTGTTTGGCCCATCCCCCTACTCCTCTCCTCTCCAGCACCACCAGTTCTCTGTATTCGTGAGTCTGTTTCTGCCCTTTTTGTTGATTGTTCCCTTGTTTTATATTTTAGATTCCACATGTAAGTGAAACCATATGATATTTTTCTTTCACGGATTTATTTCACTTAGCATAATACCTTCTAAGTCCATCCATGTTGTTGCAAATGGCAAGATCTCTCTCTTTTTTTTTTTATGACTGAGTAATATTCCATTGTGTATATATATCACATCTTTCTTTATTCATTTATGGATGGACACTTAAGTTGCTTCCATATCTTGGTTATTGTAAATAATGCTGCTGTGAATGTGGGGGCGCAGATATCTTTTCAAGTTAGCGTTTTCGTTTTCTTTGGGTAAACACCTAGCAGTATAGTTACTGGATCTTATGATAGTTCTATTTTTAATCTATTGAGGAACTTCTGTACTGTTTTCCACAGTGTCTGCACCAATTTACATTCCTATAAACAGTGCACAGGGTTTCCTTTTATTCCACATCCTCTCCAGATCTTGTTATTTCTTGTCTTTGATACTAGCCATTCTGACAGGTGTGAGGTGATGTCCCATTGTAGTTTTGAGTTTTTATCTACATTTCCCTGATAATTAGTGATATTGATCACCTTTTCATGTACCTGTTAGCCTTTTGTATTTCTTTGGAAAAATGTCTCTTTAGAACCTCTGTCCATTTTTAAATCAGATTGTCTTTGGTGTTGTGTGAGTTCTTCATATATTTTGGACATTAATCCCTTATTACATAAATCATTTGCCAATACCTTCTCCCATTCAGTAGGTTTTCTTTTTGTTTTTGTTGATGGTTTACTTGGCTGTGCAAACGCTTTTATTTTGGTATAGTCCCATGGAAAAAGAATGTAATCTTGTGGGATGAAGTGCTTGTATCTGAGACAAGGCTGTTAGTAATTATAGGAGGTAGAGCAGTACATATTGCTTTTAATGCTTCCATTAGGAGCACTTAATCATTTTTATAAAAGATTTATTTATTTTAGAGAGAGAGCAGGGAGGGGCAGAGGGGGAGAGAGAATCCCCAACAGACTCCGTGCTCAGCATGGAGCCTGATGTGGGGCTCAATCCCAGGACCCTGAGATCATGACCTGAGTTAGATGCTTAACCAACTGAGCCACCCAGGCGCCCCTGCACTTAATAATTTTTATACCACATTTTTAAAGCATCAGCTGAAAGCCAGTAGATGTGTAGTTAAGTGGTGCTCAAATTTAAGTTTCCTCTTCTTGAGCATTTTTATTTGGGGGGATTCATAATTTTTCAAAGCATTAGTTACATTTGCCACACTACTGCCTGTGAGCTTGTGTTTTCTCTTAATTCTGTAAGCTTTTGGACTATGGTAAGGGGATGTATTTGTTACAGTGTTACTTCCAGAAAGACTTCTGTTAGAATGTAGATAACATGTCTAATACTTTTTTTTTTTAAGATTTTATTTATTTATTTGACAGAGAGATAGAGCACAAGTAGGTGGAGCGGCAGGCAGAGGCAGAGGGAGAGGGAGAAGCAGGCTTCCCGCTGAGCAGGGAGCCTGACGCGGGCTCGATCCCAGGACCCTGGGATCATGACCTGAGCCAGAGGCATCCACTGAGCCACCCAGGTGCCCCAAAAGATTTATTTATTTATTTAAGATTATTTATTTATTTATTTGACATAAAGAGACACAGCGAGAGAGGGAACACAAGCAGGGGGAGCGGGAGAGGGAGAAGCAGGCTCCCCACTGAGCAGGGAGCCCGACGCGGGGCTCGATCCCAGGACCCTGGGATCATGACCTGAGCCGCAGGCAGATGCTTAACGACTGAGCCACCCAGGTGCCCCAACATGTCTAATACTTTTAAGATTCTAGTTTTTTTTTAAGTTTCAAAAGTCAGAGGAACAAGGAGCAGTGGGCTTTTATGTCAGCCCCTCAGAAAGCAAGCCGTGGTCTGTGAATGAAATAAAACAAGAGGGCCAGGGAAACCATAATTTCTGGATTGTTTGTGCTATACTTCCTTCTTTGTGTGTTTTGTTGTTGTTGCTGTTTTTCTGGTTCCTGTATACAATAAAATGTTTATTCAGTTTCTTAAAAATTACAGTTGTGGTGGTGATTTAAAAAATTTTTGATTCTACCTAGGAACTGTGAAAGTAGACAGAGCCTCAGAGCAGCCAAGATGGAGGCCTCAGATCCATGAACTAAAGCTCACTTATTTCGTGTAAGAAGCTGTCCTTAGGCTTACACACAGAGCCTAAGTTTGGGATCTGATTTGCCAGCCTCTGCAGATGATAAACGATACAGTCAAAGGGATGCAGCCAGCAGTACTGATGGTAGCCGGGGCTGTCACAGATGGCCTGAGGAGAAGACAGCAAAGCCCTCAGTCTTGGGCTGCGTTAGTGTTGAGGCCACCAGCCTCGTGGAGCCCATGTCCAGGTCCCCATCCCAGCCTAGCGCTGAGCTTTATAATTTTTGAATCAGTAAGAAGAGCCGGAGTGGTGTTCATTCTATTCTGTTCTAGAAAGCAGGGGTGTACCTAATAGGTTTTAGGTAACCCTAAATGTTTAAAACAGGAAATGGGTGTTTAAAAAAGGTAAAACATACCATATTTACCAACTGATAATAGCTCTTCCTTCTTCAGTGGTAGCTGAATGAGATACCAGTATCTTACCAAAAACATAAAATCAATAGGAATGTGTCATAACTCGTTTGTAGTACATTTGCCTCTGATTTCACTGTTAAGGGAAAGTAAGGAGCCCTGGTGTCAGGAAAAGTAACTACTTCCCGCAGTTGTTTTGAGCTACCCTCTATAACATGTTCCCTGGTCATTTACCTTGGTCATTTTACATATTACTTGCTAAAGGAAGGAAGTACCATCCTTTAGATGTTGCAAGATTGCCAACTATAAGGGTGTGTGGATAATTCCAGAAGGAAAAGAAATGTTAATACTATACAATTTTCTAGTCATCTTAGAAACATGTTCAAAAGAAAGAGATTAGCAATAAGCAGTATTACTAAATATCTGTTGCATGGAATGCTGGAGAGGTGGACTTGGGTGGTGTGCTTGGCCCTGAGGACTTCCACGGCAGGTTGGAGAACAGCCTTTGTTGGAGGTCCAGACCTGATTGTGTGCACCTGGGGGCCTCCAGCTGGGCACCGAGTCTCAGCTTCCCCGCCAGAAACGGACTCCTGACCTGTGCTGTGAGCGGCTGGGTCCCTAGTATTCCGTGTCAGCGGCTGTCCACACAGACCACGCCAGAACTTCGGACAGCTTGTCCATTCATAACAGCCCTTGCGGGCAGTTGCACCTTAGAATTCATTCATTTCTTTATCCGCTGTTTCCTGAACATTCTTCTAGTATCAAGCATTCTTCTAGGGGCTACGAGTGAAGCAGTGAACAAAACAGATAAAAATTCTTTCTCTTATGGGTTTTCTGTTCTGGTGGGGACAATAACTAAGCGAAGTAAAGTAGAAAGTGTGTAATAAGTGCTAAAGAGAAGAAAATGGAGGAAAGCTGGTATGGAATGTCAGGCCCCGTGCAGTTTTGGTGGGTTAATAGGGAAGGACTCTGCTGAGGAAGCAGCACTTGGATGATGCAAGCAGCACTTGCAGGGGCGGGCAGATTCCTGAGGAAGCAGCAACACGGGGTTTGAAGTGGTCCACTCGCCTGACTGTTTGAAAAGATGTTGGAAGTCAGATTATGCAAGACCTTCAGGAGGCTTGGGTGAGCCTTGGCCTGAAATTCAGAATACTGGGGAGCTTATTACCAGAGAACTCATTCTAGTTCGGGGCAGTCCTACCCGTACAAAACCGTTCGTTCTTTATAGGAGTTGAAATCCATTTTCCTATAATGTTTGCCCATTGCTCCTAGCAGATTGAATTCCTGTTACGGCAATGCTTGGAGTATTTGCATGAAAATGAAGGAATGCTATATAGTATACAGTCTCTGGGTTTCAGTAAAAAATTGCATATAATCTGTTAACTACAAACCGTGAGCTGGCAGGCAGGATGGGTCCTTGTAGGCGCCATAGGGGCTCTTCTGTCTTTGGTTTGACCCTGTTCAGTCTTCCCACCAGTGACTTGTGTGAAGTCACAGGTAGAGACAGCAGATGACTTACACGGAGCCATAGTGCAGATTTGGGTAATAGAGTTTAGAAAGGTGAGAGAATTTGAACTGGCTCTGGTGATGGAACAAAGAGATTATGAACTCTGAGCAGGGAAAGTAAGTCCTGCTCACTCTGCCAAGAAGTAGAGGCCGGAGGTGGAGATGTTCGTCTGACTGCAAGGTCAGAGAGTCACTATAAGCGGGCTTTGGCTGCTGGTGAGTCTTCTGAGCTCTGAGGTTACATTATGATCAGGTCCAAAATGGGTGACACAGAAGGTGAGTTTGGTGACAACTGAAGTGCGCCCCTGCGAGAGCTGTAAAAAGGGAAAGGTCCCAAGGAGCACCCCCTCCTGAGGGCCCATCCAGCATCTCCCCAAGCCTTCCTCTACCCACCCTGGCCTATCCCTTTAAAACCCTGCCTAGTGCCTGGGCCACCAGCATTGTCCTTTCCTGGCCCCACCCTCAGCCATATCAGACCAGCCCACCTTCCTGGGGTTTCTTGCCTCCAGCCTTCCTTTCTGTCACTAGTGTCACTGCTGTTGCCTGTATCTTGTCTGCAGATGCGAGGCTCTTGGGGCAAGACTCCTCCCTGGCCTCTGTCCTAGTCTGCAGGGGCCCAGATCACACACTAGAGTTCCCTAAACATACTCATGTTTTTTTTCATCCCCCTTTCCTTCCCTTTATTCCTGGTATATCTAGTTTGGGACAGCCTGTCCCATTTAGTTAAATCCTTCCCTTGGCTTATATCCTGTTTGTTTCAGAAAACCTTTCTACATCCTCTCTGCAAACAGATTTACTCTCCTGTCTTACTCTCCTGTCACCTGCCCCCAGCATTCTCATCTTGGCTCAGACTGCTCCAGAATGAGCAATTCTGCAGGAGACTCTTATCCTCCTCCTCAGTCATAAGGAACTTTAGGTGGGGCTGCATGGTTTACCAGCTCTGTCTTCCTGGATAGAGGGCAGCTCTGGGCCCTCGGTAAACCCATGTGCTAGTGAATTGGATGAGCTCCTGCTATTAAGTGGGGACTTCAGCTTCAGATGATAAAACCAGAGACCACAGGGCAACAGTTTGGGACCTGTCCTAAGAACCATCTCTTTACCAGTTCTCAAGTGAAGTGAGGAATGTTCCCACGGAGGCTGCTTGCAAGGGGGCCCTGCCGAGGGGGCGTGTTTGGTAAGTGGGGGAATTCTGTTACCTCCGAGGTGCCATCAGCCAGCTCCTACTTTGTTTGATCCTCAGAAGTCTGTGTTCTAGTAAAATTCATTTGCCAAGAAAATCTGAGGTCCTTATAGGGCTTTGTGTCATTTATTATAATTACTATGCTAAATACAGCATAGAAACACTTCAGAAAGTGTAGCACACGTAAAGTAGACTCGATCTCTGGATGTTTCTGAGGTTATGTAAAGAGGCTCGCAGTGTGGCACAGTCTGTGGTCAGTGTGGAAGTTAGAAGGTCAGCCACTGGAGTCAGACTGGGGTTCTGATCCCGGCTCCGGCACTTCTGGTTTGAGGCTGTATGACCTTGGATGGGGACTGAGCTTCTGTGTTGCTTGTGAACTGAGGGTGACATGACGGCCCTTATGTCATAGGGCAGCTAGGAGGCCTGAAGGCGACAGTGCCGGCGAGGACACACGCCGTCCCAGGGCACAGTCAGCAGGCGGTGTGGATCACTAGGGTTAGAGCTTCATGGTATTAAAGGCAAAGCAGCTTAATGAAGTTGTATAAGGCACCATCTCAGGGCTCACTAAAATGTGGCTGCTGAGGGGCGCCTGGGTGGCTCAGACGGTTAAACATCTGCCTTCGGCTCAGGTCCTGATCCCAGGGTTCTGGGATCGAGCCCCGCAGCGAGCTCCTCGCTCAGCAGAGAGCCTGCTGCTCCCTCTCCCTCTGCCTGCTGCTCTGCCTACTTGTGCTCTCTCTCGCTGTCAAATAAAATCTTAAAAAAAAAAAAAAAAAAAATCCATTGGAACCAAAAAAGAAAAAAAATGTGGCTGCTGAGTTTGGTATCACCTGCTTGCTAAATGGCCGGTCTCCTGGCCCAAAAGACGCTGTGTCTGCTGGCCCCCTCTGTGTCTGCCCACCACTGCCTCCCTCACAGTTCTGGCTTCGACCCTTCAGACGTGTGACCTCGCCGCTGGGGAGGCCAGGCTTCATAGGAAGAGTTGAAACCAAACCTGTTCAAGGCCTGTGTGGTGTTATTTAAAGGATAGTAGTAGAACATATTTAACTTTTTTCAGCCACTTGGGCAATTTAGAAATTTGTGTATTTGTTCTATATGTGCAGGTAACGTGATATCTGAATAAGTGATTCGCTATCTTTCTCAAAACTAGGGTATGTGAAAAACAACAAAATAAGGTCATTCAACTGATTGCACTGACTACAAACTAATTTGCAGGAGATGTTGCAGTAAAAATCCTAAAGGTTGTCGACCCCACACCAGAGCAGTTCCAGGCCTTCAGGAACGAGGTGGCTGTCCTCCGGTGAGTAGGGCGCCAGCCTGTCCAGCCTCCCCGGAGTGGCAGGGGTGGGCGCGGCTGGTGGGGCACGGGCATGCAGGGCATGTGCACAGGTCTCCGAGGGCCCACGGCTGGGACTGGTGCTTAGTGTTCACTGCGGAGTCCTGTGGCTGGAACTCTTTCCTTACAAGTGAAAGGGTGTGGAAGGTTTCCTTCCAGCTCACCTGGTTGTCACATCTCTAGAAGCCGCCTGTGATGAGCACACCCCCCTTCCACTCCTCCAGGCCTGTGGGCGCACTACGCTCAACAGAAGAGCGGTTCTTCTCTGGGTTTTGGTTTGAGATAGGGAGAAACAGGTTCTCTTTTCGCATTTATTTCCAAGAGCTCTTTTTATGGCCAGTTTGCCTTATTCTGGACTTCAAAACCTTCAGCTTCTAAGTCCTTGAGTCATTATTTAGACTTGTAAGAATAAGGTGAATAATGGTGGATCCCACAGATCTGGGGTCCCGTGACCCCTGTGGGAGGAATCACGAGTGCAAGTTGATTGGAGAGAGTGTCCTCTCTCTGAAGGCCAGCACTGAGGCGAATAACAGTGGGGTTCCTTGTCACAACACCAACTTGATGATCAGCAATCCTGCGTGTTTGCTTTGCCAGCCACCCAGATTGTAAGCACGGTGGCGTCAGGGACACATAGGATCCGGCGTCAGTGGGAAAGCAGGGTAGATCTCTCTGTTCTGCAGCAACTGAAGAATCGGGGCCTTTTTTCTCTTCCCCCCACCCCCTCCAGCAAAACACGGCACGTGAACATCCTGCTCTTCATGGGGTACATGACGAAGGATAACCTGGCGATTGTGACCCAGTGGTGCGAAGGCAGCAGCCTCTACAAACACCTGCATGTCCAGGAGACTAAATTCCAGATGTTCCAGTTGATTGACATCGCCCGCCAGACTGCTCAGGGAATGGAGTGAGTAGATGGCTTGACGACTGGAGAGTCTGGGGTCCAGGCATCAACTTGCCCTCCATCGGGACCTGGGTTAGGAGAAAGCCAAGTCTGCTAAGTGGTGGGCTGAGGGAGGGAGAACTCCAGGTTCCTCGCCCAGGCTGAGGCCACCTGCCGTGGGGCTTAGATTCAGGTCGGAGCCACTGCCCTCAGAATTCACCCAGATGCCGAAGAGTGTAGTGTGGCCTCCAGACCTTCTGCTTGGACAGCCGTGGCACTGGCCTCTGCAGGAATGTGTGCTCTGAGCCGTGGCCCACCAGCACGTGTGCTTGTTCCACAGGAGGGGCTGGTTTTGGATAATTCATTTTCCTTTTGGAGAATGCCCGAGTCCTCCCTAGCACGTGCACGGAACACCACCCGTTTGAGTCTCTGTGCTTGAACACGTTTCTCTGTGAAAGGGGTGTGTGTGATGTGGTGTGTGTGTGAGTCACACTTCTCCTCTGCGGTACCTCTTACGTGGAAGAGCGGCAATTCCTCATAGCCCGAGCTGTGCTTGCAAGTGCTATGTAAAATCTCAACATTCTACTTTTAAAATTCATACGGAATTTACATTCTATACATTTTAAGAAATAAACTAGCCAGGGGCGCCTGGGTGGGTCAGTCAGTTAAGTGTCTGCCTTCAGGTCATGATCCCATCGAGGCTCCTTGCTTAGCGAGGAGCCTGCTTCTCTTCTCCCTCTGTCCCTGCTCTCTATCTCAAATAAAATCTTAAAAAAAAAAAAAATAGAATTACTTTTTAGAAAAAATTACGGCTATAATCCACATATTATAAAATTCACCCTTTAAACGCATACAACTTAATGGTTTTTAGTACATTCACAGAGTTGTGCAGACGTCACCGCTGTCTAATTGTAGAACATTTGTCATGATAGAAGATGAGGTTGGGGCATCTGGGTGGCTTCATTGGTTGAGCGTCTGACTCGTCGTTTCAGCTCAGGTCATGAACTCGGGGCCCTGGGATTGAGCCCCGGGTCCAGCTCTGCACTCAACACAGAGTCTGCTTGTCCTCCCTCTGTTCCTGCCCCCCTTGTTCACTCACTCTCTCAAATAGAAGATGAGGTCTTTTGTCTGGCTCAGCTTAGCATTAACGGGTTTGGGAGGTTCGTTCATGCTGTAGCACGTGTCAGTACCTCATTCTTTTCTGCAGCTGAACAGTATTTCATAGTATGGGTAGGCCACATTTTATTTATGCGGCCATTGGTGGGTGGACATTTGGGTGGTCAGAATTACTTTTTGAGTAGAAGTGATGCTTCGGGCACTGTGGCCTCACTTCCAGGTAAGGCACGATGTGGTCCAGCCTGCATCAGCGCCTGGCCAGGCCCCACCTGTAGCCCCTCACTGGGCGACAGGCGCTCAGGTGGCTTCCTTCCTAGCCACTATTTGACGCTGCTTTCTACCCATGTCCCTCAGACTGTTTTTAATGATTTATTTTTCCTTCACAGCTATTTGCATGCTAAGAACATCATCCACAGAGACATGAAATCCAACAGTATCCTTTGACGGTGGTTTTGTTTGACTGTTCAGTTCTAAATTTAGAAAAACAAAGGAGACTTTTTAGTTTATCCCAGCAAAAGTGACTTTGGAAAGATTTGCGATACATGTTTGGGTTATGCTTGAACGTTTTATTATGCTCTTCGTTACTAAATTTAACTTGGAGGGATGGGGCTTTTGTCTTTCATGTGTATGTCCAGCGCGTGGGACAGCGTGTGCCTGGTCAGAAAGTAGCTGCAGGCCAGATGTTTCAAGATTGTCAAAGTGATGACTAAAAATTGTCTTACTTCAGTGTACAGAAGTGGTTTCTTTAGAGGTCACTCTCGGAACCAGCCCTTCCCCTTTCTGAGACTGTTCCTGCAGAAGGGGACTAAACACAGAGTTTTCGTGCTGTAGGGCAGGAAATGTAACCCTTGTCCATGTGCCTCCCGCCTGCAGCCTTTCTGCCTCTCAGAGGAGTGTGGATGGCGTTACGGCCCTACTCTGCTTCGTGGCCAGTGAGAGGAGCCACAGTTGGGCTGAGTCAGATTGTGGGATGCGGCCTATTTGGGCCACTACGTTTTTGGGAGTGACACGTCCCGTCATGAGAGCAGAGCCCACAGATTTGAAGGCGGTATGTGTTACTGGGCATTGGCAGATCCCAAGTCGGCCTTAAACTGCCTGACTTCTTTATCCAGAAATGAGGTGAGTTTGGTCCTGATTTGAAGTCACCAAGCGGTCCCTATTCTAGTAAGAAGTCTCACAGGACAGTGCTCAGTGAGGGATGTGCCATTTGCTCTTCACATGTTTCAGGCATTTGAGGGCACAAAGCAGGCAGAAACAAATGTAAGCCATCACGGGCCAGGCCCGCTCCTTGCAGATGGCACGCTGTGCTCTTAGAAATCTTGGGGGTTAAGGCACCTGTGTCAGATGGGAAGGTCAGAAGGCCAGGGACCTGGCACCTAGAAGTGGCAACGGGGAGCAGCAGCATGGGGAAACTGCCTGATTTGGGGCTGGAGCCAAATAACGTGGCACCCTGAGCACAATGGCTGCGTGCCTCCTGGAGGAAGCACTTCTTAAAACTTCAGCAATCCAAGCAAACCAGTGCAGAGAAGGCTGGGGACAGACAGGAGGCCGAGAGATGCTGTGCTCTTAAGACCTGGGGGAAGTGTTTCAAAATAAACTTGACCATTCTTTTGAAACCAGAGTCCTTAACAAGCATTGAGATATATTTCTCCATGAAGGCCTGACGGTGAAAATTGGAGATTTTGGTTTGGCAACAGTGAAGTCGCGCTGGAGCGGTTCTCAGCAGGTTGAACAACCCACTGGCTCTGTCTTGTGGATGGTGAGAAAGAGGCGAGGCTCCCACTGGCAGGGTGCAGGGCAGAAGGGGTGCCTGGAGGTGTGTGTGCACACTTAGAGCGTTTGACGTCTCCCCAACGTTCAGATACCTCAGTGAGGCCTTGAGGGACATCAGACAGCCTGAGGCAGACGTGGGCTTCCCGGGAGCTGGTGATCAGAACCAGGCGGAGGCATAGGGGCTGCGTCCCAGAGACTAGGCTTCCTGAGCCTGTGTTAGCCTGAGCCCGAGCGGGGAAGAGTGGAGAACTGAGGAAGGGCCTCTCCTGCCCAGGGGGAGGGACAGCCTGGCGCTTGGATGTCTGTGGGGCCCAGATGGTGACGAGTGAATGCATTTTGTCCCCGTAGGCCCCTGAGGTGATCCGAATGCAGGATAACAACCCGTTCAGCTTCCAGTCTGATGTCTACTCGTACGGCATTGTGCTCTATGAGCTCATGACGGGGGAGCTTCCTTACTCCCACATCAATAACCGCGATCAGGTACGTGCCCTGGTGCAGACTGGCGTGCGAGGGCCGGACGGCGCTGTGGGAGCCGCCGCTGTCTGCTTTGTTCCTCCCCCCAGTCCCCCGACTGTGTGCTTGCTCTTAGATCATCTTTATGGTGGGCCGAGGGTATGCCTCCCCAGACCTCAGTAAGCTCTATAAGAACTGCCCCAAGGCGATGAAGAGGCTCGTGGCCGACTGCGTCAAGAAGGTCAAGGAGGAGAGGCCTCTCTTCCCCCAGGTGAGACTTGGCGCAGGGGCGCAGGGCCGGCTTCCAGGAGGAGTTCCTAAATGGAAAGGAGCAGGGAGGTGGGCTCCGGGTCTCCACCAGGTGCGGCAGGCGGGGTGGGAAGGGCCTGCGTTTGGGCTCCTCCCCCAAAGCTGCAGCTCCTGCTGTGACACCAAGGCCACCTAATGACACTGCGTTGTTGCAGATCCTGTCTTCCATCGAGCTGCTCCAACACTCTCTGCCGAAGATCAACCGGAGCGCTTCGGAGCCATCCCTGCACCGGGCGGCCCACACTGAGGACATCAACGCCTGCACACTGACCACGTCCCCTCGACTGCCTGTCTTCTAGCGGACTTTGCACCTGCACTCAGGCCGCCGGGGCGGGAAGGGAAGTCAGCAGGCACCAGCAGGCACCAGCTTTCGCTCCCCTTTGATGGAGGCGGAGAGCTCGTTTTCAGAGAAGCTGCTGCTAAGGACCTTCTAGACTACTCAAGGGCCTTAACTTCATGTTGCCTTCTTTTCTACCCTTTCTGGCCCTGGGAGAAGGAAGCCATTGGAAACGCTGATTTGTCCTGCGCCCTCCCTGCAGCCCCTGTGCTCCTGAGCCGAGAGCCTTCTCCAGATGCGCCTGCGGCTGCCGGATGCCAATCCGTGATCTGGGGCCCCAGCTGTTGGCTGAATGAGTATTTTTTTTTAGGGCAAAAACAAGCACTCAGAGGGGAAATGAAGGTAGCAGACAAATGAGCCCTGACGTGGACATGTGGGTATCCGCTCCTAGGGGAATGCTTATGGGAAGGACTGCTCTTCAGAGAGTGGTGTGGCGTCAGACACGGAGTTTTGCACATAACACACCAAACAGCCCAGGACTGTCGAGAGACCACGGCCGCCTGAAGGGGCGTTGGTACTAGGGACCTTGACTTCTGGGGACACTTCCTCTCCTTGGAGGCCTCCAGGGCATTGGGACGGTTTTCCAGAAGAGGCGCTCGGCCCACCCCTGCCCGTCTCCTCCTGCCCTGTCAGGGAGCAGTCTTCCATCTCACTGAATCTGTCTTCCAGGAGCTGCCCCTGTGGGGCGGGGCCGCCGGGCCAGCCTTTCTCTTCAGTCACATCATGCGGATGCAAGGAAGCCAGGAATACAGGTTTTCTTGATGATTTGGGTTTTAATTTTGTTTTTATTGCGCCTGACAAAATACAGTTATCTGATGGTTCCTCAATTATGTTATTTTAATAAAATAAATTAAATGTAGGTTTAATGGCTGTTTCTTCCTTCTACTGAGCTCACAGCTTGAACTCTCCCCCATCTGTTCATCCCTCTGGAGCAAGAACTCAAGCAGCAGGAAATGGGCCCAGAGCCTCTGCTGGGAGAGAGTCTAAATCAGCCTTTGTACTGTCACCCTTCACTAAAGCATTAACTATAAAAATTATGCAAAAAGCACTCTCAACTCAGGTAAGAGCAGACCTTTTTCTACCCACACTTCAATGCATTTTATAAAATATTTGGTATCTATAACAGTTTATAAAAATAGATTAATTCAGGCTTGGGGTGAGTTCTGATTCACAATGTTAGGGTCCTTCGATTAAAGTCACAACTTAGGACAGAGGACTTGTTTTTTTTAGGACCATTGCTGGGTCAGAACTAGAAACTTTGTTGGGTGCCATTAACTTTTTACAAAATTTGAAATCAAAGCCAGGCTTTACAGATTGAATGAGTGGCTTTGAGCAGGGGCACACGGTAAGAGCATGCGTGTGCTGGACCCTCAGTAAAATGACCCTTGGGGCTTGAGCGCAAGGAGAGCCCACAGGTGACAGCCAGGGATGGGCTTCCCCGGAGCGTGTGGCCCCGACACCAACCAGAAACGAGGGGCTGTACCTCTGCTGCGCCCAGAGCCGCCGCCCGTACAGGGAGGGAGGTTCACACTCTGTTCGCCGAACACACGGGCAACAGGGCCCCTGCTCTGATGGGGCCGCGAAGAGCACTACAAGTTCTATGCTAAGGTGTGCGGTCGGTGCCCCCACTGTACGTTGATTTGATTTACATGGAGCTTTTCGAGAAACAGCTTTTGGCGACACACGAAGTACGTGAGGGGAAATGCACTAGAGGGATCGTCCCACAGGGGTGAAGAAGCCTTTGTCAAGAAAACTCTGCTTTAAGGGCAGTTGCAAGGTGACTGTTTCTAGGGAGCTAAAGCTCAAGGACAGGAGCCAGGTTGGTTAGCTGGTCCCCCTAAGGAGCCTGAGGTGCACCTAAAGAGAGCAACTAGGAAATTAGCGATTCCATATACTTAGTAGGTTATTTTATATCCTTCACTCCTCCCATGGCTGTAATAATGGAGAGGGGATGAGACCAATGTTAAGTACAACCCCAATCAAGTCCAAGCCACATGCCACGTCGGGTTGCAGTAAAGGAAGCTCTGCACACCCTAGCTTGGGAAGGCTCGGCCGGCAGAGCCCAAGATGCAGAGGGAACCGTCTACTCCTTAGGGTTCTGACGACTCCACTCCAGACAGGTGCATGAAGAGGTCCCCAAGCTCTGTCATGTCGACATCTTCAGTGTTGGGGACATGCCGGCTTTCTCGATTCTCAATGAAATCCCAGAGCCGTACTGAATTAAAGAACTGCAAAAACAGCCAGCAGATATGCCTGGTTATTATTAACAGCAACATGAAGGCCAGTTTATTTTTCTCTTGCTTACCCCATTCCCTGCTGCCAAAGCTATCAGACAAGGGGCCAGGAGCAGTACCTGAAATGCCACCAAGTGAGTGTCCTTGACAGAGATGGCAAAATCCTTACCCTCACGGTGCCCTCCGAACTGAGCTGCTTCCGAGGTTTTTCAGGCTCTGCCAGCCGCCCGTCAGGATAAGCGTGGCGGTAAAGGCATTTATTTCCAAATGGGCAGGTCCCCTTGCCTTGCTCAAAGTACTTACAAGCTTTTTTCCTGAAAAGTAGAAAGAAAAGGTCAGGAGGATGGTGGGAGAACCTGGGGCCCAGAAGGACCAAGGCCTTCCTCCATCCCTGCCTGTGATGCCCGAGTTAGATGAGCCTTACTTTCTATGTGGGGAAGCTGAGGCTCAGCGAGGTCAGGATGATTTCCAAGCTGAATCATACTGCCATGGTGACATGCAGCCTCACACAGACTTGAACCTGCATGGGGGACTCCAGTCTTTTGAGCTCGCAGGGCTCCAAAGAGGCCTTCAGGAGAGCACAGGCCTGGCAGCTCCTCTGGGCCGGCTGTCCGGGCTCCAGGGTTCTGGAGCTGGGCTCCTTGCCTCAGCTAGAAGTCCCAGTAGGAGCCCCCCCCAGGGAAATTTCCCTTCCTCCTGGCCAGCAATGATGTCGAGGGAGGGGGAGCCTTGACTTCGGAGGCACAGAAAAGCGGTGAATATTAGCAGCTGCCCAAAGTTACAGGTCTCATTCCAATTTTCCTTGGTCTCCACCCTCTAGATCTACCGCAGGGCTTCTTAACTGTGGACCCCTTCTCAGAGCAGTGTTTTTTAAATGGATAAAATAAAACACATAGGGCAAAAAAATTAACTTTTTGCTGTGTTTTTTAGGCCTATCTTCAAATTCTACTCATAGACCCCTATGTTAACCCCTGCTCCTGAGGAAAAACACAACCAAATAGAAAATTCCTGCTTCTTTTTACTTAAATGAAATTTGACTTCTACAATCGTAAATGGTCCCATGGTGAAGAAGAGGTGGAGATGCCCAAGAAGGCAAGAGCGCATCTGGGAGTGCTGAGGAAGGGAAGATGCACCGCGAAAGCCAAATCGCAGCAGAAAGGGCAGGCTGCTACCAGGGGCAGCTGGGGTATGTGACAGTGACAGATGACAAGGAAGGGGGACTCCTTGATGCCACTGTTTTTCCTGTCTTCTCAGACAAGTGGATGGCAGAGACCGGTGATGAGGGGGCTCTGACCAAGTTCCCTCACAACCGTCCACTGCAGGAAGGAGCACCGTGCTTGCCCGGGCGCCTGCTCCCACCAGGTCTGACCCTGGCGCCGGCTGGGGAGTGGGTCCAAGCAGAGCTGTGTGTGTCCACCCGTCATGGCCTCCACCCCTGAGGCTCTGAGCAGAAGTTCCCAAATGACTGCTCAAGCGGGGAGGTCTCAGCAGACTGCTGGACACTGGCTTTAATAAACTTCAACAGGTTCAAGAAATCATTCTCTAGTCCTGCCTCCCAAATAACTTGCTTTTTCCTTCCCCAGCCTTACCTGGTCACCAAGGACAAAAGCCTCCGGTGCACACAGACTGCCTCCTTGTTCTCAGCTCTCCCATGCGACTGTTAACTCCTGCTTACAGAGCACCTCCCCAGTCACCCAGTCCCTTCCGTCCCCACACTGCTGAAGCCACGTGGGTACTGTCCCCGGCTACCTGCCTGCCACAGTCATTTCTTAATTGGCCTTCCCACCGGCTTCCAGCCTCTTCACACTACGACTGGGGAGCCTGCCGAAGTGTGTCACTTATTCTGCCCCCTTAGATTTCACTCCAGTCTATCCTATAGGTCCTACCACATCCTTCCACACACCTCGTTTAACCCCAGGGCCACTCCCACTGCTCCCCACACACAACATCTGTACCATTCTGCACCCAAGCCATTCCATTCCCCCTCACTTCCAACACACACACACAGCTGTTCATGCTTCATGGCTCAGGGTCCCCATGCTGCTTTCCCTGATGCTCCCAGGTGGATCCAAGTGCTTTCTCTGTTGGGACATGTGGCTTGGGCCTCTCAGGAAGAATCTGTCACCAGAAAACATGGATCGTAATTGCCCTTTTGCAATTTCCCTTGAAATTATCTTACTAATCTATACTCTATGTCCCCCACTGGTGCTTAGTTTGAAAGCGCCAAGCCCAAAGTAGGCGTGCATTAAATGTGTGTGAAATGCCTAAAAGCACCATCATCAATGAAAACTAAGGCCAGGAAAGACCCAAACAGAAAGAACATGAGAATTTCCAGACCACGCCAGCACAGCTGCTTCCTACAGGCTGGCCCCTCTGCCTTGCCACTCCTGCCCTCTGGTGGACACATTCCACCACGTGCAGGAGGGGACCGGGTAAACCAGGAAAGTATTAAGCCTTTATTAACTGCTCACAGGCAATCTCAAGGAACCATTAAAAAAGGTGACATGCAGTGCCCTTTAGTACGGCCAAGCACACTTCTCCCAGAGCCGACCCTCTGGCAGTTAACTAGCAATACTAATTTTTAAAAGACCCGAAGGCACTGGAGAATGAACAGCAGGAGGATTCCTCAAGAAATTAAGACACTGGGAAGAACAGAATGGCAAGAAGGGAGTTATCTTTCTCAGAAAAAATAGCTTTTAGCCTAGAGCAAGCCAAAGTCAGGTGTCTAAAACTCCAGGGGCAAATCCACAGTCTCCCTGGCCTGAAGGACAACAGGGTTCGGAGGGAAGCACCCACTGGAAAGCGGGGAAGCAGTCCCTGAGCAGTCCCCGCAGAGAAGGGCCCGAGAGGGAGAACTCCAAATACTATGTACTAATTCAGCCCAAAGGGCTGGCCCGGACATCAGTGCAGCAAAAGCTCACGGCCACTTAGCTGAGGATAAGAAACCAAACAGATTCGAACTGCTGCCCAAGAGCTAAAATTTAAAGACTTTACCTGCATATAAAAACATCAACGCTTTATTGTTTGACTTAAGAGAATCCAGGATCTGGACAAGATAACACTGGCAGTGTCTAGGCTATGATTCAAAATGATTCAACATACAAAGAATCAGGAAAACGTGACTTAGACACCAACTTCAAGATGACAAGGAGTTGAAAGCAGCTACTCCTGGGGAAGATGAACAGTGAGGGGGAAAAAAATCGGAAAGAAATGAACAGATGAACAGACCCCAATGCCCGTGTGGCAGTAACAAAAAGTCTATTACATGTTATGAAGAGTCCCAGGATAAGAAAAAACGGGGCAGGAAAAAAACTGGATGGCCAAAATTTCCCTAAATTTGGGGATGACAAAACCTTACAGATTCCAAGAAAACCACTCCCAGGCAAAGTAGCAAACTGCTGAAAACCAAGATAAAGAGACAATCTTGACAGCAGAAAAATGACCTACTACAATCTAAATTACCACTGACTTCTCAGAAACTAGAGGCCAGACTATGGTGGAACAACATTCACAAAATACTAAAAGAAAATAAAGAAATGAACTATAACCCAGAATTGTATTCACTGAAAAAGGAGACAAAGATGTAAATAGAACTGATTAGTGCAGTATATTTAATGAAAATATCCTTTAAGAATGAGAAGAAAAGCTATTTCTGCTAAAAAGAAAAGAGTTCATCACCAGCAGATCAATAAACGTTAAAGGCAGTTCTTGAGGCTGAAGGTAAATTATACCAACTGGAAGGAATTATATACCAAATCAAAGAGCACTGGAAATAGCGAATATCTTAGTAAATACAAACTTTTTTTTCCTCTTTAAAAAAAAAAAAATCATAGTATTTACCTTGCTGGGTTCTTTTTTTTTTTTTTTTAAGATTTATTTATTTTCTTCATGAGAGAGAGAGAGGCAGAGGGAGAAGCAGGCTCCCAAGGAGCAGGGAGCCTGATGCGGGACTCGATCCCAGGACCCCAGGATCATGACCTGAGCCAAAGGCAGACACTTAACCATCTGAGCCACCCAGGCGCCCTACCTTGCTGGGTTCTAATGTATGTAAATATTATATCAATGTCTTAATAACAGTAAAGTTGCAGGATACAAAATCAATATATAAAAAATCAGTTGCTTTGCTACAGACCAACAATGAACCACCAGAAAGAGAAATTAAGAAAACAACCCCATTTACAATTGTATCAAAAAGAATAAACTAGCAGGGCTAAATTTAGCAGAGGAGGTGAAACAGACTGGTACGCTAAAACTATAAGATATGCTCAAAGAAATGAAAGGCATAAATAAATGGAAAGTATCCCATGCTCATGGATTGGAAGAATGCTGTAAAGATGTCCACACTACCCAAAGCAATCTGCAGAATGAAAGCAATCCTATCAAAATCCCAATGGCATATTTCAAAGAAATAGGACAAACAATTCTAAAATTGTATAGAACTATAAAAGACCCCAAATAGCCAAAGCAATCCTGAGAAAGAACAAAGCTGGAGACATTTCCTGATTTCAAGTTGTACTACAAAGCTACAGTAATCCAAACAGTATAGTACTAGCAGAAAAACAGACACATAGATCAGCAGACAGAATAGAGGGCCCAGAAATAGGCCCATGCAGGTATGGTCAATTTACAACAATGGGGCCAGGGATATTCAACGGGGAAAAGACAATCTCTCCAATAAAGGATGCTGGGGAAACTGGGCCACTGTCTTACACCATACACAAAAACAGCTCAAAATTGAAGACCTGAACGTAAGCCCTAAAACCATAAAAATTCCTAGAAGAAAACACAAGGGGTTAAGCTCCTGGGCAATGGTCTTGGCAATGCTCTTCGTGGATTTGCCACCAAAAACGAAGGCAACAAAAGCAAAAATAAAGTGGGACTACATCAAACCAAAAAGTTTCTGCACAGCAAAGGAAACCAAACAAAATGAAAAGGCAACCTACTAAATGGGAGAAAATATTTGTAAATCATCTATCTGGATAAGGGGGTAATATCCAAAATACATAAAGAATTTATATAAGAACAAAAACAACCACCACATTCCATTTAAAAATGGGCAGAGGAACTGAATACACATTTTCCCAAAGAAGACATCCAAATGTCCAACGGGCACATGAAAAGGCACTCAGCATCACTAATCATCAGGGAAATGCAAATCACAACCACAATGAGATAGCACCTCATGCCTGTTAGAAGAGATTATCTACACTTCCATGTTTGCTGTAACATTAGTCATAATAGCCAAGACACAGAAATAACTCAGGGTCTGTCAACAGATGAATGGATAAAGAAGATGTGGAATATACATACAATGGAATATTACTCAGCCATGACAAAAAAGGAAATCCTACCATTTGTGACAACATGGATGGACCTTGAGGGCATTATGCTAAGTGAAATAAGCCAGAGAGGGGTGCCTGGGTGGCTCAGTTGGTTAAGCGGCTGCCTTTGGCTCACGTCATGATCCCAGGGTCCTGGGATCGAGCCCCGCATCGGGCTCCTTCCTCCACAGGAAGCCTGCTTTTCCCTCTCACACTCCCCCTTGCTTGTGTTCCCTCTCTCGCTGTGTCTCTGTCAAATAAATAAATAAAATCTTAAAAAAAAAAAACTTAAAAAAAAAATGAAATAAGCCAGAGAAAAACAAATGCTGTATGAGATCACTCATGTGGTATCTAAAAACAAACCCAAACAAACATAAACAGTCAAACTCATTTAGTAAAAAAAAGTGTTGCCAGAGGCTAAGGGAGAGGGTAAATAAGGAAAAGTTGATGAAAGGGTACCAACCTTCAGCTATATGATGAGTAAGTATCTCGTGTAAAACATGGTGACTACAGGTGATAACACTTCATAAAACTGGAATTTGCTAATAGAAGAACTTGGAGGTTCTCACCAAAAAATAAATGAATAAATAAATAAAAAATAAAGTGATGGATGTTAATTACCACGATGGGAGTATCCTCTCACAATGTAGATCAAATCACCATGATGACACTTCAAATATCTTATAATTTTATTTGTTAATTATACCTCAAAGCTGAAATTTTAAAAATTACATTACTTTGTCGGGTTCAAAGGTATGTAAATATAATGCATTTGCCAGGCAGGCACCAGAATCCTATCTGAACTCAAAGTACTTACCCCATTCCCTGTTTGAAAGCTTCAATCAACTCGTTCTTTTTATTCTGATCTTCTACCCAATACACACTTGGAATTACAAACTCTGATATCACACGGCATTCTGGACAAGACCTGAAATTAGAATCAAGGTTAGTATGGGAGAGATGTAGTTATAAATCCTGTGCACACTGCACCACCAAACCCCTTGTTCAAATGCATAAGCACTCCAAATGTTTCCTAACCAAAAATTCCACAAGGTACAATAACAATCCTCTAAGAACCTTCTTTACTGTTTTAAGTTTTTATTTAAATTCCAGTTAGTTAACATATAGTATAATATTTGTCTCAGGTGTAGAATCTTACTTACTGTTAAAAACATGTTCTTTTCAACAATAAGAAGACAACCCAATTTGGGGCACTTGGCTGGCTCAGTTGGTGGAGCACGCAACTCCTGATCTTGGGGTTGTGAGTATGAGCCCCCACTGGGTGTAGAGATTACTTAAAAATAAAATTTTTAAAACAAACAAACCAGCCCAATTTTAAAATGAGCAAAAGATTCGAGTAGGCATTTCTGCAAAATGGCCAAAAAGCATAAAAAAGATGCTCAAGATCATTAGTTATCAGGGAAATGCAAATCAAAACCATAAGAAGATACCACTTCACACCTACAATCAGAAATACAGTAACAAGAGTTGATAAGGTTGGGGAGCAACTGGACCCCTCCTACGTTGCTGGTGTGGCCACTGTGGAAAGCAGCCTGGCAGTTCCTCAAAATGCTGAACAGTTACCATAAGGCCCAGGAATCCCACACCTAGCTATCTACACAAAAGAAATAAATACAGGCCACAAGACAACTTGTCCATGAGTATTCACAGCAGCATTATTCATAATAACCAAAAGAAGGAAACAATCCAAATGCCTGTCAACCAAGGACCCCACTAACTGTGGACATCCACCCGGGGCCATGCTCCTCAGGTCTCTGCATGGGCCCGCGAGCACGGGCCAAGGCTGAGAGCCGTCAGCTGGGGGGAAGCTCGGGGGAAGCAGCTGGGCCTAGAAAGGCTATGTGTTGTAGGACTCCATTTACAATCAAGGACCAGGACAGGCAAAGCCAGAGGCTAGAAAGTAGAGGAGTGGCTGCCGGGAGCTGGAAGGAGCAGGGAGGAAATGGGCAGTGAATGTACACAGAGGTTTCTTTTTGGGATGATAAAAATGTTCTAGAATTAGACTGAAGTAACGGTGGCAGCAACTGTGAAAGGACTAAAAACCACTGAACTGCACACTTTTATCTCAATAAACCTGCTATTTTACCACCCAAATGTGTGACTTCAGGCACATTACTTGACTTCACTCTACCCCAGTTTTCTTATCTGTAAATGAGAATGGTCACTGGGTCTGAGAGAATTATGAGTTAATGTGTGTGAAGAGTTTCTAACAGTACACAGCACACATTCACTTTTCAGTATGAGTAAGCTCTTACCCCGTCCCTCTGAAGAATTTAAGAACCCTGTGTTGTTATATGTCAAGGATATCTCAATAAAGCTGGGGACAAAAAGAATCCTGTGTTGGCTCCATGGAGCACAAGCTGTGTATCATACATTATGTGAAATGTGTTAGATGTATTCCATTTAATCCTCAAACAACCCTATTTTACAGATAGTGCTGGAGTCAAATAGGCCAGTGCCATGAACACTTTCTCATACAGATGATCCCCGCTGAGTGTCCCCAAACATCCTGATGGTTGGCAGGAGTTGTTACCTACTTTTTTTTAAAGGAAAAGTACTTGGGCTCAAGAAGGCTACTTGATGTGCCCAGGCTCCTGCAATCATGGGCTTGGACTCACTAGTTATCTTCACACTGGAGGACAAGGGGAGGGATTAAGAGTAAATAGAAGAAGGCCCCCAATCTAACGCTCTCCCCAGCTTCCACAGCTGAGACCCTCTAGCTGGACTTACTTAATGATTGGGTTCTCAAACTGTTTGGCACATCTCCATTGCCGGATGCAGGACAAGCAGTATGTGTGATTGCAGTTGGAGAGAATCCCAAATCTCCTCTCAGAAGCAGATGCCTTCTCAAGGACCACTTCCATGCAGATACTGCACACTTTGTCCTGACTTGCTTGGAAGGCAAAGGCCTTTTCCATCTCATGTTCGAATGTCGACATGCAGATCTAAAGTACGGAGAGAAAGGAGGGCCACACTGTTAGGTTCTGGGCTGCTGGACACAAAGCTCTCTCAGACCACAGAAAGGACTTCACACCATCACCTGCCCAGCCCTTTGCTTTCCTAGCATGGTATGGTCACCTCCAGTTTAGAGCTGAGACTATGGAGGTCCCAAAAGATTCGAGGACCCATGTGGAATCACAGAATTCCCAGAACCTGCAATCCCAGTCTCCTGGCTCTTCTGGGCACTCTTTCCCCACTCTGAACTACATCAATATCAGAAATGCTGGACAATCCTTAACTTGAAACATTAGGCTGGTCGTCACGAGTCAGAGGGAAGCAGCACTACTTCTCAAAAGAGTAAGTTATTTAATGAATGTATTCATTCAGTAAGCAGGTGCTCAATACTCCCAGGTGAAGCACCATGTATCAGGCATGAGTGTCAATGCGAAGAGCCTGAAGACCCAGGCTCTGCCGTTGGGAGCTCACGATGGATACAGATGCGAGACAAACCAACACGTACAGCACAAAGACCTCAATGCACCTGGGTGCAGAGGAAAGCTCTCATTCTGCGCTCACCTGAACACCCCCGGGAAGACAATGGAGAGTGGAGACTCAGCCTTCACACACCATGGCCTGCTCATCATCATGAGCTCTGACACTGAGGCTGTGGGCTCCTTTCGGTCTCTCTTACCCATCTTCATACCAAGCACAGAGCCTAGCGTGATGCGGCGCCTCCATAAACACCGGGGACCTAATGGCCTGAAAGGTCCCTTCCAATACTTGGCTCCTCAAATTCTCTAGAACTTGGCCTGGCTGGACCCCAGGCACAAGGATAAGTAAACCTACGGAGGATGTGTGTGTGTGTGTCTCTCTTACACACACACACACACACACACACAAACACACACCACTCCTGAGTTATTCATTCTCTGAACTTTGCACTGCTTTATGTTTCCAATGCCTCTTCCCTTTTTCTTTATTCTAAATAATCAAAAATTCTCAAAATGACAACAGGAAAAAGGACTTGAAAATAGGATTATAAACATGCCAGGTACATATTGAGGACATTATGCGCAGAGAGATGATTACAGGAACACCAACAATTTTGTCACTTAGTGCATTTCTTAAAATAAGTTCACACAAAGGCTTGCAATTTTACCTTCTCGTGAGCTTTCCTTTGCTCTGGGTCGAAGGGATGCAGGACTCGTAACCTACAGATCTCACACACTTCTCCATGCAAGTAGACACAAGCGTCCCCGAATCGGCACTCCCCAGCCGCTGCGTAGGGGCACAGCTGCCGCTCACTGCTGTAGGAGCTGCCGGCTTCCACGTCATCAAGGCCACTCCTGATCGCATCGAGGTAAGAGTGCGGCTTCATCTCTGGGCTACTCTGGGGCTCACTGCAGCCTCCTGCATTACTCACAAGACTTGGGGAAGTCTTTTCGTCAGCCAGGCCAGAGAGATCTTAATACAAAACACATAGCACACACATAAAAGAAAACTTGGCCCAAACTTTCTGGTAAGCAGTTAGTGAAAACCTAACAAATTAAGTAACTCTGACCTTGGAAATTCCACTCTTTCCATATAGGAAAAAAATAGGCCAAGAGGGAAAAACAGAAGGAATAGTATAAAATGCTCACAGTGACATTACTATAATCATGATTTTGTTTTAAAAAGGAAAAAACATAATTGGCAACACAGGAAATTCACAAAAACAGACCACGATATACAAAAGAACAGTAAAGTTGCTGTTTAAAAATGACAAATACGGAAATGTCAACCCGTGGACCAATAAACACTAAAAAAATGGTAATAATGATAGTTTTTTTTAAACACCAAAATATAAGTCAATGGGAAAATGAAGTCAATAAAATACAGTGCTTTCCTTTATATTAGTAAAGATACCGATCATTATAAAGTAAACTAGAATGAAAATCTAGTGAGTCTTTGGGTCCCAAGGCCAGTGTTGAACCCCTCTATGGCCCCCTTCTCCCCTACAGCCCTCCCGCCGCATGCACTTACGGCCTTTTTAGAGAGGACACGATTACTTGTTTGCTTAGGATGGACTCTACCTATCTTATCCCACACAATTCTAAGACCCAGAAATCCCTTTACTTGCTGAGGACCAGCCAATAAAAATAACTTTTATGATCTGTAGCCTACTTCCTCCCCAAACCCTGTTCCAGGGTACAAACCACTCCCCAAACCCCAATATACTGCTCTATTACCAAAGCTGCTACTGGAAATACCAAACTGGCTAAGCATAATAACTAAGACTATGAACTGACCTAGAAGTAAAACAGTGAAACATGCTCTTTATTAAAATATGTAGCTTTGAAATGAGTCACCTGGTGCTTCTCAGCATTGGGGAACCACCCCGTGGAGACAGCAATTACACGCTGACAAAAGGTACCTCTGCATGTCTTGTCAGGCCAAACTTGGCAGTGAGCCTAGCCTGCAGGCAGAACACATCACCTGAATGCTCTGCAGCCAAATGAAGCTGTCCTCAGGACAGGTCTGGTGTCTACACTCGAACACCTGGCAGGGGGACTAGGTTAGGGACTCCCATGATAAAAGGGGCCAGAAAGGAACATCACGAACAAACAGGACTGCTATTCCAAAAGAGGCAATGAAATGACTCTGCTCACTCACTTCGGTCTCTAAGTACCAATGTTCTCTTTTCACGTTTCCCAGGCTCATGTAAGTTCGTTTTCACAATAGATGCAGTGAGGTCGGAAGCAGGGTGAGGACTGTGGAAACCCGGGGAGGGCACACCGTGGGGCATGGTGCCCATGGCACCACCAGCTGCAGCAGAAGGCCTCGTGTGATCGTATCTAAACAAAGCGCACAGCAAATGCATTAGGGAAACACTACCTTGAGTGCCTCCCACACTCCCTAGACGTGGACCATCTTTTCCTCTGCTCCACTTTCCATATTTTAAATGATAGAAGGCTTATCAGTTAGTAAGAAATGCCTGGTAATTCAGAGTGAGTGGTAGGTACAATGCCGTCTAGCAGCACACTTCAGTGTCCTTGAGGGACGTGAGTGGGACAGAGTACAGAAATCCTGAACATTCCAGCCAGATGTTGGAAGTGAAATCTCCTGAGACCGAAGCCAGTGCTCTTCTGGCAGGAGTCCCCCAAAAGTTAATGATGGCCAGTGTAAGAGCCGTAGACCGGCCTTTCCTGGACTGTCTCTCTGGGGCACGCACTGGCGGGGCGGGGGGCGGGCAACTTCTACAGCCTCCAGTCAGCACAGGAAAGAACATACCAGCCCTTCACTATAAAAGCGCTTGAACAGGTTTTTGGGATGTTTTCCTGTTTAGAATTTACAAAACTTGCCTATAGATGTGAGTGGGAAAAAGGCAGACTCTATATGCATATAAATGTTCACTGCAAGGGTACTCATAGCAAAAAACAAACAAACAAACAAACAAAAACCAAACTGGAAACCACTTAACTATCTAAGAGAGGAATAGTTAATAAAATGATGGTATGTTAACATTATGAAACATAAAACTACAGTTAGGAAGTAAAGTAGCTGCTTAGGGAAAAACTTGTGACATGTTAAGTGAGGAAAAAAGCAAGATATATATACTGTGAGTGCAATTTTGTAAAAGACTCATAAGAATAAGGTCTGAAAAGTGTTTTGAAAAATTAAAATTACTTTTATTGTAATGAAACTGAGATTTCAAAACGATCTGCTGTACTTTTTATTGTTAATTACTTTCAAATTAGAATTTTCCCCTCATTGGGGTGCCTGGGTGGCTCAGTCGGTTAAGCGTCTGACTCTTGATTTCAGCTGAGGTCATGATCTCAGGGTCGTGAGATTGAGCCCTGCTTTGGGCTCTGCACTGGGCGTGGAGCCTGTTTGGGAATCTCTTTCTCCCTCCCCCTCTGCCCCTTACCCCCCACGCTCTCTCTCTAATAGAAATAAAATCTTTAAAGAAAAGAGTTCCCTTCATTGACACCCATGCATGCTCCAAATGAAGGCTCTGAGTCCCCGAGAGTATTTAAGCTGATAGAACAGCTGGGGGCAGCTGTGGGGCTCTTGCCTGCAACGAGTCCCATAGGCGCAGTAGCCCTTCTGATAGTATTTGCAGATGGTGGATGGCTTGCTGTTCGCCAAGTCATGTGAGAACAGGCACTGGTTTCCTTCCCGACACACACCATGCATAAAGTACCTGAAGAGACAAGCAGAGGCATAAAACTTTTAGAGGCACACTTTGCTTTATAAAAATCACCATATTCTTGAATCTAGCATACAAATGCTTATTATGCATGGATTATGTATCAAGGCTCTATTAGGCACTGGAGATACACACATTATTTCCTTTCTAAGCCATAGTGATTTTTGATACATCACAACTAATTCAACGACAGTTTTCTGGAAGAAAAATCCCATAAATTTCTGTTTTAAGATATACCCTCTTGATTTGAGATGTTACATATGTAAATGTGAGACTCAAAACTGAGAAAATACTCTGAAAAACTGTTCTGTTCTCATGGAGCTTAAAGGGTATGGTTGTAAAGGAATCAAGAGACCTGGGCCCAAGATCCAGCCCTGCCATATAAGAGCAAGTCACAAAACAAACTTCCCTATGCCTCATTACCTTCATCTATAAAATGAAAATTACATTATCTACTTTACTGGGTTGTGGTGAGGATCAAATTAGATAGTGCAACACCAAAAGATATACGTAAGAATGTTCCACTGAGGTGTCAAGTTCTGATCCTGAAGAAATAACTGGGAGGCATTCTGATTCTGTCCAGCTAGAGTAGAGAAACCTGGCTGAATACTCAGAGCAAACAGCAGAGAGATTTCAAAGGCACATGCCTGGGTATTAAGGGTAAAGAGGCCTGAAGAGTATTTTTAGACTCACCATAACAAAGCTTAAAAACAAGTTTCAAAAGGATCAAGCAGATAGCAAATAACTTACTGTCAGCCAAAACATACTTTAGCACTCTTTGAAGGAAGACAATAAAATCCAAATGCTCAAAAACACTCACAATGGCATCCAATAAAAAATTAGCAGCTATGCCAAAAAGCAGACAAATGTGACCCATGACCAGGAGAAAAATTAGTCCATTACAGGAATGACAGATGATGGAATCATTAGACAGGACTTTAAAAACAGCTATTATAAGTATGTTCAATTATGCTAAGCATGAAGAGAAATGGAAAATATAAAAAAGAACCAAATGGAACTTCCAGAAATGAAAAGTACAATATCTAAAATGAAGACTACACTGGACAAACTTACTGTAAATTAGACAGGACAAAAGAAAATCTCAGAAGACCTGAAGACACAGCAATAGAAACTACTCAAACTGAAGCACAGAGAGGAAGAAAGAAAAAGGACAGATTTTTGCTTCTAGCTATGAAGGAGCATGGAACTCGCCCTTCAAGGTAAAAAAAAAACAAAAAACAAAACCAAACAACTGGAAAACAGAACAATATATATGAAAAAGCTGCTCTGAGACAGAGACAAAAGACAACACAAGACCAGTCTTTGAGAGAAGGGAAACAAGGGATGTGAGCCCAGGTTCAGCCTGGTTTCTGCTGGGAGGTGTATTCTGGACCTTGATGCAAGGAGGTGAACCCTGAGCAGAGCACAGCAGTCTTGCTGAGCTGAAGAGACAGACTGGAGTTCAAGGAGGCTGAGGTAAGCTCTATATAGAGCTTGTAAATAGTCACAGACACACAATCAATAGACTTTTGATAAACGTGTCTGGGTAATTTAATAGGGGAAAGAATAGACTTTTCAACAACAAATGCTGGACCACTGCAGTATCCACATGGAAAAAAAACGAAGCTCAAACATTATATTATGTGTCTGCTGATGTGATCCAATATGAATTAAGTATAAAACATAGCCTGTGATACATTCTAGCCAAAAACATTTAACTCAAATCCAACGAAAATCCAGATCTAACTCACAGTTTGGGAACAAGCTAAAAGCCATCATGAGAAAGCAATCAGATAAATACAAAAGAAGAGGTGGGATGTGGACCAGGTTTCTTTAACAAGTGTCATGGAAGGTGGGGAGGGGAACCTGAGTTTGGAAAACAGATGGGTGTTTTTTTAAAAACTTAAATTTACCATACGACTCAACAATTCCACTCCTGGGTGTTTACCCAAGAAAAATAAAAACATATGTTCATACAAATACTTGTACATGAATGTTCATATAAGCATCATTCATAATGGCCAGAAAGGGACAACTTGTACAATTCCATCAACTGGTGAATGGGTAAGTAAAATGTAATATAGCCATACAATGGGATATCATTTGGCAATAGAAAGGAATGAAGTACTAATGCATGCGATAACATGGATGAACCTCAAATACATTATGGTAAGTGAAATGACCCAGACACAAAAGACCACATTTCGTATGATTCCATTTATATGTAATGTCAAAAAAGGGGGCAGAAGCACCTGGCTGGCTCAGTCAGTAGAGCACACGATTCCTGATCTTGGGGTGGTGAGTTCAAGCCCCACGATGGGTGTAGAGCTTACATTAAAAGGGCGGTGGGGGTGGAGGCAAATCTGTAGGGACAAAAAGTAGATAAGTGGTTCCCCAGACTGGGAGAAGGGGTAATGGGGAATGACTGTGAATGGGCACAAGGGGTCACTTTGGGGTGATGAAAATGTTCTAAAATTTAAGTGTGGTGTTGTACAACTCTAAATTTACTAAAAATCTTTTACTTGTATGCTTAAAATGGGTGAATTTTATGGTATATAAATTCTACTTCCATAAAGCTGTTGAGAAAAATTTAGGGGCACCTGCGGTGGCTCGGTCAGTTAAGTGTCTGACTCCTGATTTCGGCTCAGGTCATGATCTCAGGGGTGTGAGATCAAGCTCCCTATCTGGCTCCACACTCAGCAGGGAGTCTGCTTCTCTCTCCCTCCCTCTCTCTCTCTGCCTTCCCCTCGAACTCTCTCAAAGGAATAAATCTTAAAAAAAAGAAAAAAGAAAAATTTAAAAAGGAGGGAGCTGTGCTAGGTTAGTAGACATTACATAAGGTACATAATAACCAGGTGCAATATTTAGTCCAGGATTATATCCTGGTTTGAACAAACCAGATGAAAAGACATTTTTGGAACAAATGGGAAAATCTGAATATGAACTGGGCATTAGATAAAATGAAAACTTATTGACATGGGAAGTTAAAAGATTAACTGAAAAAAGCAGATTATAAAACAGCATTTACAGTAAAATAGTGCAGTCACTATGGAAAACAGTACAGTGGTTCCTCAAAAAATTAAAAATAGAATTACCATATGACCCAGCAATTCCACTTTGGGATACATATACAAAAAACCCCAAAAGCAAGGACTTAAGTACTTGCACACCCATGTTCCTAGCAGCATTATTCACAGTAGCCAAAAGGTAGGAACAACCAAGTGTCCATCGATGGATTAATGGAGAGACAAAACGTAGCACATACATACAATGGATTATTCTGCCTTAAAAAGGAAGGAAACTGACACATTTTACAGCATGGATGAACCTTGAGGACAATGTGCTAAGTAAAATAAGTCAGACACCAAAGGACATATACTGTATGATCTCTCTTATGTAAGGTTCCTACAGGAGTCAGATTCCTAGAGACAGAAGCAGCATGGTGGCTGCCAGGGGCTGTGATGAGGTTGGGGAGTTAGTGTTTAATGGGGACAAAGTTTCAGCTTGGGAAGATGAAAAAGTTCTGGAGACAGACGATGATGGTTCCACAGCAGTGTGAATATATTTAATACTACTGAATTGTACACTAAAAAATTGTTAAGATGGTAAATTTGTTATGTATATTTTACCACAATTAAAAACTCTGAAAAGAACACATTACATTCTCACTTTGGAAAAACCAATTTTTAAAAATGCATACACACATACATACATGAGTTTTAAAAATCTAGAATGATATATAATTGCACGTTAAGAAAGGCAATCCTTGTGGGTAAAGTATATGGTAATTTTATTTTCTTATTTTTGCTGACCTGTACATTCTAACATTTCCACCATGAACATACACCGCTTTTGGAATAATAAATGATTTTAGTTTTAAAAAAATACACATACTGGTGAAGGTATGGTTAAAAAAAATAAAATGCTCAGCTCAGTACCTATCTCACAGTAGGTACCCCCGAAAGTTCAGCTCTTATTAAAGTCCAGTAAAGCACAATGGCAATTAAGCTGACCATTACAAAAGGGACCCGTGCCTTATCACAAAGCAGGCAGAGTGCTGAGGAGACACATACCATGAACTGAGAGAGGGCAACATCCCAGAGGAGGTCAGGCCCAAGCACAGTCTGCAAAGTGATGGGGGTGCCAATGGGACAGAGGACAGAGAAGACAGCAAGAAAAATGCAGAGAAGGGAGGCACTGGGAGGGAGTGCAAACAGGCCTGCCGAGGGATGAGGCTGGCGTATCATTTAATTGTGCTCCAAATTACCCTGGTGTCCGCTGACATGCTTATATGAGTGTATCTTAAAACAAGGGATAACAAAGGGCCCGTAGTCAAGTCAACTTAGGAAATGGCAGTCTAGTCTTTCTCAGAGATTTACGAAAGACAGTAGCAGAGGAAAGGTTTTGAGAGTCCTGTCATAAAGAAAACTGTTTACAGGCATACTTTGTTTTATTGGGCTTTGCAGCTACTACGTTTTATAAATCGGAGTTTGTAGCATTTACCCACATCATGTCTCTGTGTAACATTTTGGTAATTCTTGCAATACTTTAAACTTTTTCATTATTATTATATTTGTTATGGTGATCTGTAATCTGATCTCTGATGTGGCTATTTTAATTGTTTTGGGGTACCATGAACCCTGTCCATATACGACGGAGAATTTAACCAATAAATGTGTGTTCTGACCGCCCCACCAACAGGCCGTTCCCCATCTCTCTTCTCTCTCCTCGGGTGGCTCCCCATTCCGACACACAATCATATTGAAATCAAGCCAATTAATAACCCGACAGTGGCCTCTAGCTGTTCAAGTGAAACAAAGAGTCACAAGCCTCTCACTAGTGAGGAAGGCATGTCGCAAACTGAGACAGACCAAAAGCTCTTGCACTGAACAGTTAGCCAAGTTGTGAATGCAAAGGAAAAGTTCTTGAAGGAAATGAAAAGTGCTACTCCAGTGAACACACAAATGATAAGAGAGTGTAACAACCTGAATGCT